TGTTCCTAGTGTCATCCCGCTGTCATAGTTGATCTGGGAGGAGGGTTTGGGGCGATACAGGGCACGGAGATGAGCGCCATTATTAATCCTCAAAAATCCGTGAGACTGGGACAAATACACATATATGGTGTGCCATTCTCGTACCTTCAAAGAAAAGCGGTAAGTATTCTTGTAGCTACAGAAATATGAAAGTAAAGTACCGGTGTAAATTAAAGCTATGTACCAGCAGAGACAGAACACAACTACAAAACTTAAATACATGGCGGATGGTTTCAATATTTTTGTAACGGATATCTTTTTAAATTACCTCAATGATCAAACTACTACAAATTTTAAATGTTTAAATCTGGAGGGTTGATATGTGAAGTTATAACTTGGCCTTCATGGTAAACTTTGTCATCCATAGCCAGCCTACCTGTAATGTGGTGTTAGACATTATATGTATCTCCGATCCTTGGTTGACTACCTTTAGACAAGGTTTACCATGCACAAGAGACATAGTCACACTATGACGACATGTTTTTAATTTGCATGTCCGTGACCTGTGCACAAGGATTCCATTAGGATGAAGCGGATTCACAACTAGGTGGAGACTAAGGTAAGACTGGGGCTTGTCGAAAGGCGAATATAGCAACCCACTACTACCGTTAAGTCTCACGCCAGTGTCGTCTCGATCTGAAAACAGAACACATTAGAAACAATCGTGAAAGTAATATGATCAACATTACAAACTACTCATATAATCAAAAGTTCGTACTTCTTTTCTGTATATTGGCCTTATAACGGAAAGGGTTTATCATTTTATAATAGTTCCGACTTATTGAATTGTAATGGAACAAACATGTGCATATATCTTACAAAGTTGCTTTGTTGATGTTTACCTGGACAGGGGCCATGGAAACAGGGAGTCATTTCTGATCCTTTGCCTTTACAATGGCTCCCTCCGTACAAAGGAGCGGGATCGGTACACGTTCTGTCCCGGAAATGTACCCCGTTTCCACACGAATGACTACAAGCGGACCAGGAACTCCAATGCGCCCAGTCACCAGTAACTGCCAACACAGCAATGATTTGAAAAGTCCAAATTGATTCTACGTTCGTTTTTGCTATCAGTAATGTAACTAAAATATCACTTCTGAAATTGCGTTTCAAACGGTAAGTTCCGAATGACATCAGTTATTGTCAACATTGCTGCATTTGGTTTGTAAGTCAATGTAAACAAGAACAAGAGGCCCAAGGACCTTAACAGTCACCTGAGTAACAATACTTCTTATGACATGTCATAGAAATGATTTTGCTAAAATAATAATATAACTGTAACTATATTTTACACATATTGCAAATGTAAATTATGCGTCCCATGGTTAGACTTGTAACCGAGTTTGAATTAAAAAAAAACTACACACAAGATTTGAAATTTCCGAAACAAAATCTTCCATCCAGGAACAGTAGAACATCTTTGAAATTTCAGTTAATTTGACCCATTTTTAGCCCCGCCCATCAGCCCCTCGGGAACAGACAATGGCAATATGTGCATCTGTCAGCTTATACCAATAAAACAATTCTAACCAAGTTTGAACTATTTCTGACAGAAAATAAACAAATCATGCTCAAAAATAACATTTTCATTTATAGAATATAGTAGATTTTACCACCTCCCCTGGGTGAAATGTGAGACCCTGGGGTCATGAAATTTACAATTTTGATAAAACATGTGAAGGCCTTTCCATCTATGAAGAGTACTCGATTCTATCATATTTAGGACTTTGTCTTCGGTGACCTAAAAAGCAGGACGCGGCAGTATCTCTATCACTCTCTCACTGCTACTTGAAGTGTGTCAGGCAAATTTGTGTTTTGAACATGACAGGATGAATAAGAAATGGTAACTTATTTCAACCAATGTATTGCTCTTTTGATGTATCGTTTATAGATGATGTTTCCTAATATGGTTTGGAGACATCGGCATTCGCTCCGTATACGACCTATATTGTCTTTATATATCACAATCAGATCGGCACAACAGCTGCGTTAGATGCTACATATAGAGGCCATTTCTTTGGAAAATCGTCTTTTGAGAGAAAAGTGGCTTTTTTGGTAAAAATTGCTAATGCCTTTTTAACTTAATTGTTATGTTCTGAACTCCAATATATGAGTTACCAAAATGGTCAGACGCCTTAACGACTCCGCCACCAGGACCCTATTTGGATAGCGAAACAATTATCAGTGTATTTTGATTTATTAAGAAATGTCATTTATTTGTAATAGGTTCATGATTGTATGTTGACTTGTTTGTAATTTTGTTGTTCTATAATAATTAACTAAACTTTTCACTGGGTTAATTAGACCAGATATCGTTAATCCAAAGTAATCAAAGTGACATTTATCTAGTCATTTACAGAGATAGAAACTTTGTTGCAGTCTTGATGATACAACGTTTACGGTCTTTATAACTAGATTAGTCACCGAGCCTACTAAAAGTTTCAAATATCAACAGCATTATACCAACCAAATCACATTCTGTGTTTTATTTCGTAATATTTTGAAATTTTAAAAAAATATAATTCTGTTTTTATTCAAAGTGACTTCATTTTTAAATACTATCCAGATTAGCAACTGTACATATTCAAAGCGATTTCAAATTCTATACTATCCAAATTACCTACAGTATCTTTTAAAAATGGCATGAAAATTTTGTACTTACCTATTTAGATTTTGTGACCATCGCAATGCCTTTTTCATTACATATAAACTAACAGCATTAGATACCATCCATAATGATCAAATCATTATCTCTATACTAACCGGATTAGGTGATAATCTCTCGACAATGACCTGATCATCATCTTTATACTAACCGGATTAGGTTATAATCTCTCCACAATGATCTTACCATCATCTGTACACTAACCGGATTAGGTGATAATCTCTCGACAATGATCTTATCATCATCTTTATACTAACCGGATTAGGTTATAATCTCTCCACAATGATCTTATCATCATCTCTACACTAACCGGATTAGGTGATAATCTCTCGACAATGATCTTATCATCATCTTTATACTAACCGGATTAGGTGATAATCTCTCCACAATGATCTTATCATCATCTCAACACTAACCGGATAATGTGATAATCTCTCCACAATGATCTTATCATCATCTTTATACTAACCGGATTAGGTGATAATCTCTCCACAATGATCTGATCATCATCTTAATACTAACCGGATAAGGTTATAATCTCTCCACAATGATTTGATCATCATCTTTATACTAACCGGATTAGGTTATAATCTCTCCACAATGATTTGATCATCATCTTTATACTAACCGGATTAGGTTATAATCTCGCCACAATGATCTTATCATCATCTCTACACTAACCGGATTAGGTGATAATCTCTTCACAATGATCTTATCATCATCTCTACACTAACTGGATTAGGTGATAATCTCTCCACATTGATCTTATCATCATCTCTACACTAACCGGATTAGGTGATAATTACTCCACAATGATCTTATCATCATCTTTATACACACCGGATTAGGTGATAATCTGTCCACAATGATTTTATCATCATCTTTATACTAACCGGATTAGGTTATAATCTCTCCACAATGATTTGATCATCATCTTTATACTAACCGGATTAGGTGATAATCTCTCCACAATGATTTGATCATCATCTCTATACTAACCGGATTAGGTGATAATCTCTCCACAATGATTTTATCATCATCTTTATACTAACCGGATTAGGTTATAATCTCTCCACAATGACCTGATCATCATCTCTACACTAACCGGATTAGGTGATAATCTCTCCACAATGACCTGATCATCATCTTTATACTAACCGGATTAGGTGATAATCTCTCCACAATGACCTGATCATCATCTTTATACTAACCGGATTAGGTGATAATCTCTCCACAATGACCTGATCATCATCTTTATACTAACCGGATTAGGTGATAATCTCTCCACAATGACCTGATCATCATCTTTATACTAACCGGATTAGGTGATAATCTCTCCACAATGACCTGATCATCATCTTTATACTAACCGGATTAGGTGATAATCTCTCCACAATGACCTGATCATCATCTTTATACTAACCGGATTAGGTGATAATCTCTCCACAATGACCTGATCATCATCTTTATACTAACCGGATTAGGTGATAATCTCTCCACAATGATCTTATCATCATCTTTATACTAACCGGATTAGGTGATAATCTCTCCACAATGACCTGATCATCATCTTTATACTAACCGGATTAGGTGATAATCTCTCCACAATGACCTGATCATCATCTTTATACTAACCGGATTAGGTGATGATTTTCACCAATGATCTAATCATCATCTCTTTATGAACACGAATAAAATTGCACCTAATTATTATCAAAGTTTCAAATGTATTCTCTTCTACAATAATTCTACGACTGCAGAATTATGTTAACATACATACTGTGCTGATTATATACTTCAGACAACTCCTAATGCTTCTAATTATAAAAGGAAACAACCTTTGTTTAATACTTTGTCACCTGTAACATTTATGCTACTTGTGACTCATAGGCTTCCTCGACAGGTATGGCTTATAGACTGCATGGCGGTGTTAATAGTTTTTACTGACGTGTGGTTCACAGGAAAACACCTGTATTTAAAGGATTATATTGTAAGACCTATATATCAAATTCGATATATCATTTTAAGATCTAGATTTAATTACTAGAACAAACATAATGCGTTGCAATTTATAACCATTACAATTTTAATTACCCAATACCTGATCAACATGATAAGATCCTTGTATCTCACCCACAATCTATCTCTAGTTGTACAATAGTATAAATTACCTACATTCACTACCTGTCATCCTTTACTTACCTGGACACGGCATCATCCCACACGTTCCCTTTTCTTTGTTTCTCCCGCGTTTTTTACATATTGGAACTCTTTTATTCATGTACGGCCAGAACCGGCGATCAATCACATAACGAATGTGCGTTCTGCACTTTCTTGACCGAAATCGCGCACCGGCTCCACACGTGCGGCTGCATTTCGACCATGTTGACCAGTGTCCATAGTCGAATTGGAGACCTAAAATGGTTCTTATAGCAATCAACTAAACTAATCAAGATACATGAAAACAAATTGTTAAGCCATCACTACTTAGATAAAAAAAAAAGTTCGCTCTCGATATACATCATCCGCTGAAGGGACAAAATAGAAAAAATAGACAATGAATCATTTTCAATTGGAAACAACGCTAAGGAACTTTTTAAGGGAGAACTAGTGATATTATGAAATAACCCAAGTATATATCATCTACATCACAATTACACGTGTACAGCTCGGATGTCTTAAAGCAATATTTTTTTTTCAAAATCTCAAAAATGTATGTTATAGTACTAAAATATATGCAAAACACAATATTTTGGAACATTTTCTTCATGTTGGTAATGTCAATACGATAGAATTCTTGTAGCACAACCAGCAGAAGATTAGAGTCTGACATTACAACGAATACATGGTCACCTTCATCAGACAAACGGCCTTGAACCGTACCAGCACTGACGTATGTAGTGTACGAGGTGGTAAGGAATCGGCCAACTTTTTCAGCTGTACTTTGATCCTGTTCATTTGTCTGATGAAGGTGGCCTAAAGTTTTTGAAACGTCACATCCAAATCTTCTGCTGTGTTATAAGAACTTCTATTCTATGCAAAAGGAACTCCTTACAAAAAATCAAAAAGTCATCAAATCTCCAAAACAAGTTCGGGAAGTAGTAGCTATAACACACATGACTCAAGTCTGGTAAGTCTAAACATGTGTATGGATGATCCTGCCACGCTCGACTATGACAGAAACTGTACAAAGAGACACCAAAATTATCAACAAGGCATAGTGAATGATACAAACCCCTTCGCGGTTTAACCTTCACGGGTGCGCAATAAGGAATACTTTTTGTGTGAAGTTTAATCAAAACCTTCAAGCAATGAATCCAATAAATGTTATGTCTCAATAAGAATTTTGAAAATTATAACCATGAAATTGACGCTACAACCTTGTAACTCGTCCGTAATATCATGCTCTCCAGGAATACAGCCACGTGAGTGATGACAACCTCCTAGACCTCAACGTGACAGTAGGGAGGATAACAAGAGGAAAAGTAGGAGAAATCCGGATGGCCATATATATATATAACTAGTCTAGGTCTAATTAGGATTTGGTTAACGCCAGAATTACTTAGTAAATGCAAAACTTTTTTCAGAGATATAAGTAAAAAGATTTTTGCTGACATTAGCTCTTGTAGTTATTGAACACCTCTGAGGATGGTAGTTATTGAACACCTCTAAGTAGTAGTTATTGAACACCTCTGAGTGGTAGTTATTGAACACCTGTGAGTGGTAGTTACTGTACACCTGTGAGTGGTAGTTATTGAACACCTCTGAGTGGTAGTTATTGTACACCTCTGAGTGGTAGTTATTGAACACCTCTGGAGGTAGTTATTGAACACCACTGACTGGTAGTTACTGTACACCTGTGAGTGGTAGTTATTGAACACCTCTGAGTGGTAGTTATTGTACACCTCTGAGTGGTAGTTATTGAACACCTCTGGAGGTAGTTATTGAACACCACTGAGTGGTAGTTATTGAACACCACTGAGTGGTAGTTATTGAACACCACTGGAGGTAGTTATTGAACACCTCTGAGTGGTAGTTATTGTACACCTGTGAGTGGTAGTTATTGAATACCTCTGAGTGGTAGTTATTGTACACCTCTGAGTGGTAGTTATTGAACACATGTGAGTGGTAGTTATTGTACACCTCTGGAGGTAGTTATTGAACACCTGTGAGTGGTAGTTATTGAACACCTCTGGAGGTAGTTATTGAACACCTCTGAGTGGAGAACAGATGTTGACGCCGCCGCTAGAAAAAAGTTTTACCTAAATCTTTCTCACGCGACACAAAAACATTTCTGGTATGGTCTTACTTAATGTTGTTTAAGCAGGACAACATACCTTTGCATTCCCCAAGATTACACTTGGATTTCTCTGCCATTTCCCCGAAACATGTTCCACCAAATTGTGGTAGAGGTTTATCACACTTGCGATATCGTATTCTGTGTCCACGATCACAAGTGACGCTACAGTGAGACCACGCCATCCATTCACTCCAACCACCGTTCACTGTGAAAACAAATAATATCGTACAGATGGATCATTCATGCCTTTGTCATCAAACGTTATAGACATTCCGATGTAACAAAAAAAGATGCAAAAATGTGCAATATACAGAAATTACCTGGACATTTGAATGTGTTGCAGAAGAGCACCTGTCTGACTTCGCCTGAACACTGACCAATCACAGTACAATTCCGAGATCTTGACCTCTGACCTATATCACATGACTTTGAACACGCGGACCAATCAGACCACTTTGTGAAGGCACCGGGTTTGTTAGGTTCCAACTCGTATAGGTAAGGGTTGTAATGATCAGGCCTCCAGCCCTTCAAAAAGTGATACTGACTAGGTGTTAATGACGAAAATACGAAGAAATCATGGTGCCTTCCACGTTTAATCTGTGTTATTTTAGAACATTTCTACTGGAAGTTATAGTAAAATGCTTATTGGAAAGAAAAGTGAAAAGTAAAATTTTAACACTCCTGCCCCTCCCTCTCCATGGTAACATAATTGACTTTATAGAGAGGAGGTTTGGTGTTTAGAAAGTGATCTATAGTAAAATGTCAACAACTACTACAACTTCAATCTTGACATAGACGTAAACTGGGACATTAAAGATTTTGTGGATTGTAAATGAAACAGACTTATATCTTGATTTTCAATTGATAATTGTATTTATAAGGAAAATGATTCTGTTAGGCCTTCACAGAGATTGCCTGATAACGTATTTGTGATGACAAAGCTTGTCCTTACCGTTTGCGATAGGTTGCGTACTGGAACAAACGCCGATACTGTTACACCAGCTGTTTCATTCTTCAGAGCAGGATCTACAAAAAGCCACAACAGCCTGATACACATTTAGTTAAACAGGACATAGCAAAGTTTGCAAACATAGTAGATGTATTCCGACATCTTCAATATTTCCGTACCAGACACACTGAGACAGCAACAATATTCCGGTACCAGACAAACTGAGACATCATCAATATCCCGGTACAAGATACACACTGGGACAACATCAATATTCCGGTACCAGACACACTGGGACAACATCAATATCCCAGTACAAGACACACTGGGACAACATCAATATTCCGGTACCAGACACACTGGGACAACATCAATATTCCGGTACAAGACACACTGGGACAACATCAATATTCCGGTACCAGACACACTGGGACAACATCAATATCCCAGTACAAGACACACTGGGACAACATCAATATTCCGGTACCAGACACACTGGGACAACATCAATATCCCAGTACAAGACACACTGGGACAACATCAATATTCCGGTACCAGACACACTGGGACAACATCAATATCCCGGTACAAGACACACTGGGACAACATCAATATTCCGGTACAAGACACACTGGGACAACATCAATATTCCGGTACCAGACACACTGGGACAACATCAATATTCCGGTACCAGACACACTGGGACAACATCAATAATCCGGTACAAGACACACTGGGACAACATCAATATTCCGGTACAAAACACACTGGGGCAACATCAATATTCCGGTACAAGACACACTGGGACAACATCAATATTCCGGTACAAGACACACTGAGACAACATCAATATTCCGGTACCAGACACACTGGGACAACATCAATAATCCGGTACAAGACACACTGGGACAACATCAATATTCCGGTACCAGACACACTGGGACAACATCAATATTCCGGTACCAGACATTCTGGGGCAGCGTCAATATTCAGCTACCAGATACAGTGTGACAGAAGAAATGTCCCAGTAGTAGACTACAAACAGTGATAGCATCTGTATCCCAGGACTAGGACATCACTTTCCGTGTGCTATATACAGACTGTGTCAGCATCAGTATCCCAGATATCAATCTACAGGCTGGGACAACATCAGTATCCCAGATATCAGTCTACAGACTGGGACAGCATCAGTATCCCAGGTATCAGTCTACAGGCTGGGACAACATCAGTATTCCAGGTATCAGTCTTCAAGCTGGGACAACATCAATATCCCAGATATCAGTTTACAGACTGGGACAACATCAGTATCCCAGGTATCAGTCTTCAGGCTGGGACAACATTGGTATTCCAGATATCAGTCTACAGGCTGGGACAGCATCAGTATCCCAGATATCAGTCTACAGTCTACAGACTGGGACAGCATCAGTATCCCAGGTATCAGTCTACAGACTGGGACAACATCAGTATCCCAGATATCAGTCTACAGACTGGGACAACATCAGTATCCCAGGTATCAGTCTACAGACTGGGACAACATCAGTATCGCAGATATCAGTCTACAGGCTGGGACAACATCAGTATCCCAGGTATCAGTCTACAGACTTGGACAACATCAGTATTCCAGATGTTAGTCTACAGACTGGGACAACATCAGTATCCCAGATATCAGTCTAAAGGCTGGGACAGCATCAGTATCCCAGGTATTAGTCTACAGGCTGGGACAGCATCAGTATCCAGGTATCAGTCTACACACTGGGACAGCATCAGTATCCCAGATATCAATCTACAGACTGGGACAACATCAGTATCCCAGGTATCAGTCTACAGACTGGGATAGCGCCAGTATTCCAGATATCAATCTACAGACTGGGACAACATCAGTATCCCAGATATCAGTCTACAGGCTGGGACAGCATCAGTATCCCAGATATCAGTCTACAGACTGGGACAGCATCAGTATCCCAGATATCAGTCTACAGACTGGGACAGCATCAGTATCGCAGATATCAGTCTACAGACTGGGACAGCATCAGTATCCCAGGTATCAGTCTACAGACTGGGACAGCATCAGTATCGCAGATATCAGTCTACAGACTGGGACAGCATCAGTATCGCAGATATCAGTCTACAGACTGGGACAGCATCAGTATCCCAGATATCAGTCTATTACTCGGCTATGATCTTAAACCTACTTCCTGTGTTTGTGTTCAAAGACTAATCTTATCGTGCTTTGTGATAGAGAATAATCTGTGAATAATCCCTCCACAATTCTACTGAGAGAAAGTAAATATCGACCACTTCCTGAGAGAGAAGCATTATAAGAGAATAAAAACCTTTGTACTTTGTGTGATAAGGATACCTCGTTAAGTTGCTATCTAATTGTAACTCGGTGAAACAACCAAAGTATCCACATGCTATCAGTGGATGTCACTAGTGTAATACACCATGGAGGGTTTTCATTGGCTACGTCTTCGATTGTGGTGTAATATTATGGATAACGACGTAACGTCATGATTTGAAAATGGCGCAACAAGGGGATCTGTCTCCGTTTGATTTTGTCCTCTACATTTTCCTTTAACACCTGTAAAGTGCTATTTTATCTGAGGTATGCCGTTTAAAAAACATATCTTAAATTTGTTTTCGTTTCATGAAACTCGTCTTGAAGTTTTAACTTTTGCCAAGGTTCATGGAAATAAAAAACCAAAGAACTGAAAGTACTGAAAGGCTAAACGTATTGAAAAATGTTCACAAATAACCGCAAAGCTATATTACTTTCCCATACTCCTACACTTTGGAATGCAAAAATTACTAAAATAAGAGAACCAGAGGCTATTTTTCTTAACTTTAAGCGATAATATATCTTCTTTAATTCTTGTTTCAGATTTGACGACAATAATGTGAACAAATCAAAATAGGTAAAAAAAAACAACAAAATACACACAACCATATATTTATCGCCAACAAGCCAAATGATGAATAGCTCTATGATGAAGTTGACTAAATAAAATCTTTGAAATACCCAAGATGTTGCAATTACTACCTATCAATATGAGGATTTAGACCAATCGAAAGGACTTTATACCTACTTCTTTATTTTGAATGTATTGCAAAGTAAAAGTCCTTACTTATTATAATTAATATTTGTAGTTGAGGAAAGTAGATAAGGTGTACACAGCATTTCAGATAGATTAAAGAGTAAGTAATTACATTAAATGTATCTACATGCCTATCTTCCTTGAAGTATCATGGTTAGACTTTCCTTCCAGTAATTATGTCTTTAAAGACATAGTTCTTTTATATCAAACCAGTCTTAAATATATATACAAATTTTACAATATTTTCACTATAGCTACTACTATTTCTGATCTCCAATGCATTAGATAATGTCACCATGACACGCTAAATGAATAAATATGTTATGGAAATATTTCGTTCTAGTTAACTGATAATTATAAACATGAATATTTTGGGGGGTTTTATACGCGCTTTGTTTGAAGGACTATTTTCATTTCAAGGAACTTTGATACACATTAACAAACCTTGAGAAATCAGCACAATCAACCTTCATCAAATAAAACTAAAAGACAAAAAATATAAGTTATAACAGTCAACATCATGATCAGTACAGTATTAAAAATATATTATTCATAAATCATGAGCACTAAATGTACCTTGCCTACGAAGCGCAAATTGTTTATCTTCAAAAACTTGAAAAGTATCATGGCGGTGGGTGTGAAAAACCTGAAAAAGTGTCATGTCGAGAATTCCGTAAAATATATTGTTCAAAATTTATCAATAGTTCAACCACACTGTGTTTCTTTTTTGAAATATATAGTAATCGTATTGTTATTTAAAAAATAAACTAATTTTGGATGCTTTTAAAATAGCGATTTGAAAGATCGCGGCATTATTTACGCAGAAAATTGCCGCCAGAGGGCTCTAACTCTTTTTGATATTTCAGCTAATGAGAAGGCCAGGATCGGTAAATTTTGTCTGAAAGGCCGTCGCAATAGGCTATGCGTACTGAGTACGTTTAGCCTAAAATCTTCCAAGATTCATTTCATAAAGATGAAAAGAAAACTCAACAAAAGTCCTATATATATTGGAAATAATTATTTGATACAGAAACAGTATCTACAACTAATAACATCTTTACCTTTCTCACAACTTTTTTCACAGGAAGTGACATTGATTGATTGTCCGATACAAGTTGTTCCACCCGAAGAGTGTAAGTTATCACATGTTCGAATGCGGATTCGTCGGCCTTTACCACAGTCTGCGGAACACTCAGTAAATTGTGACCAACTTGACCAAGTTTGATCATTTTCTGGAAAGAAATTTTTTTTCTGTCATATTAGTTCTGTAGTATATGTCAATCACCCAGTCACTAAGAGTTTTCCATGTTGACAAAATCTCCATAACTGAAGGATAGGTCAGCGTGATTTCTTAATTCAAAACACCATAATTACATTTTATTGATTTGATCGATTTTATGAATTCCTTATAATCTAAAAATATGTTAAGTTATGGCATTCGTACAAAATCTTTAGCAAAAAAATAACTTAAATCAATACTCGTAGATGTACCGTCCATGAACGGCTGGATTCTACCTTGAAACTCTTGAAAAGTACAAAATAAAACTGTTGGTAAACTTGGTACATTTATACAGCTACATCTATATAATTCAAAATCTAAGAAATTACAATAGATTTGTTCGTGTTTTCACGTTTGGAATATTTACTGTTGTTGTTCTGCTGTTAGGCGTATTTGAAAATAACTCGAGATTTTTTTATTTTCATTTATTTACTTTTTTAAATCAATTTTGTTATTTCATATCAAGCAACAATTACTAAAATGTTCCAGTGGCTACATGTACTTGTATTTAATATGCGTTATCATTTTCACACACTTACAAGTTGTGATGTCACATTTGATGCCAGATAATACATTCACGAAAGTTAGACTATTTTGAGGCACTTCAAAACTGATAAAAATGTATAGAAAATATCATACTTATGAAATATTATGACTATTTACAAATATGTCATTTAAATACTGAATTTCAAATAGTAAATGTGTTCTAATTGGCTGAATCAAGTTACGGAAGACCATAAAACAAGCATATATGTACCAACTGATAGAATCGAATGGCTGAAATTTAGTTATCGCAATAAAGTGCTCAAATTTAAAGTTCAACTTTGTATGATTTAAAAATCCCATCTAGAGTGTACCACATTATTTTTTATATACAAACTTGAAGATGACTTGGTATACATCTGAAATCACTGCTCTGACCAACTACATAACTAGTTTAAAATTGATCAGAAACTCAAGCAGATTATTAATCACTTTCGGAAAATATTGGAATCGCTCCCTAGATTATCCACATTAAAATGTTCATTTCAAATAAAAGAAAAAATCATGAACAGGAAAGTAAATGGAAAACCGAATTACACTTTTTACATAGATATAAATAAATGAATTTTAAACTGTATTTCAGCGTTTGTAAAGTTATTTACATTTATCTATATACTTTCTTTTATATTTTTGTTTGTGTTAAACTTATTTTTATTCTTCATGCAGTTCATCAGACAAACGCTTTGGTTAGGACGTACATGTAATGATAATTAGAAACCATTACAACATCATTATCATTTTTAATATTATCGGTTTTATAGTTTTAATCATAAGGTCCTTCTGGTCTGGTTCAGACTGTTCCTTGACGTTTGAAAATTTGATATATTTCCATCATTTCTTTCCCCGGAGAATAAAATCAAGTGTTTTGGAAGGGAAAGCGTTGGAAACGGCGGCGTGCAATCAATCGACAATAGTTGTACATCATAAATATAGGCCATTTCCGGTACCTTTTCGTTTTTCATAGATGTATCCAGTCGTTTTCGCAACTCATTCGCGGGTAGTATATTTGTTTATTTTTGTGACAACTGAAGGTGGTATAACTTCCGTTCTAGCAAAGTAACCGCCCTAAATATTAGATATTTCTTTTCTATGCTCTGTTTAACTATTTGCACATGAACAGACTTTTTACTATTATTGTCACATTTATGTAAGTTTCTTTAATCAATATAGTACTTTTGATCGAAAACATTTTGAACCAAATATTTCCGAATTAACACGTCAACGTGACCGGAATTAACTCAGGCACGGAAAGACATATACAAGTGATGTCAGGGCCAAATTAACCATCATACAGTTTAATTTAGTAAAGAAAGATAAAGTATTATGAAACTTTAAAACGCATACTGACACGTTTACTCACGGGGACACGGTCCCTGGAAACAAGGTTTGTAGATGACGATGAAGCCGCTATTTTTCCTCACCAAATCACCACATTTGCCCGGAGAAAGGCAAATGCGACGTTTCTGCTTCATACCGTACCGTCCACATTTGACAGAGCAAGGTCCAAACTTTGTCCACTCAGACAGGAAAATATCCAACGCAAAATCTGTCACCATATATGTAAAATTAGAGAAACATTTAATTAAAAATTAAGACTAATGTATTGATCACAATTAACACCTGTAATAAAAGTTGCTACAATGTATAACGATTATGTTGGTAACATGGACGAATCGAAGGTTTTTTATAACTTTGCATTAATTATAACCAATATCACTGTGGCTTGAATTGTATGTTTACGTTGAACAGCGTTGTGCGTTCAGTAATAAAACTGCAAAAATACACCTCATTAGTTAACCAACTAAAACAAGACCTACGCAACGTTCTGTAGTTAACAAGAAACAAGACCTACGCAACGTTCTGTAGTTAACAAGAAACAAAACCTACGCAACGTTCTGTAGTTAACAAGAAACAAAACCTACGCAACGTTCTGTATTTAACCAGAAACAAAACCTACGCAACGTTCTGTATTTAACCAGAAACAAGACCTACGCAACGTTCTGTAATTAACCAGAAACAAGACCTACGCAACGTTCAGTAATTAACCTGAAACAAGACCTACGCAACGTTCAGTAATTAACCAGAAACAAGACCTACGCAACGTTCTGTAGTTAACAAGAAACAAGACTTTCGCAGCGTTATAATACATTTGAGTTTTGTTATGATTGCTGTTTATTACTGGTAATCCCTAATAATCGAACAGTCTGTGTCCTTACTCGTTCTCGAACACCTCCCTACACAAGGTGATTCCTCGTAGAAAGGACCCCGACAAATGAATCCACTGTTAGCTGGGAACGGGTTTGTACAGTTCCTAAACCTCCATTGTGTCCCAGCCCCGCACATGGGTTCACAGTCCGACCAGCGTGTCCATGAACTCCAACCCCCGTCCACTAGGAAGCAAACAACAGCACAATTATAAACGGGACAGTCATGACATGCTCAATAATTGTAGACGCGAAACTACGCCATATTTACATATGTAGAAAGTACACATGTGTAACACTCACCTGGACACGCTCTCTTATACTTAAAACACTGCAAACTTGACCAATACTTCTCCTACAATCGAAATAATGCAGAATCCTTATTACATGGAAAACAGTGTTTCAAAAAAGATGTTTTAGATGCTGAAACATGATCAGTATATAACATATATAAAGTGTATTATCCCAATTTCATGTAGCGAAGATTAGATATTCAAAAATAAGCAGGATCCTAAAGTTCATTTTACTAATTTGACAAAGAATTTGTCTAACAGTAAGTAAATGTGTAACCAATATGACAGGGACGCCTTAATATTCCATAAATTATTTATGTAACATTTTGATCCAGTACTACTTCTGTAAAATACAACCTGTTTCCTTATAAATATTTAGGAAGAGCTTTTCATGCAGCACACTGGCTAATTGGTTTTATTTCGTTCTCTTTACAGATGTAGAGAATGAACATTACAAAAACATATAATAATGGTGTTCACAATTCTAGAGACAAATTAAAGTACATGTAGACTTATGGCGGACAAACCTGTATCAACTTGCCTCATCACACTAGCTTATCTTTATACGTAATGCATCCAACCGTGTATCACACTTGCTTCTCTATATACGTACTGCACATCCGCCGTGCATCACACTGATTACCTGTATACGTACCACATCACCGCCGTGCATCACACTGCTTACCTGTATACGTACCACATCACCGCCGTGCATCACACTACTTACCTGTATACGTACCACATCAATTTGTCTACCTAAATGTGTAACCAATATCACCGCCGTGCATCACACTAAATTATTTATAACATTTTGATCCATACACTTCTGTAAATCAAACTGTTTACCTGTATAAATATTTAGGAAGAGCCACATCACCGCCGTGCATCACACTGCTTACCTGTATACGTACCACATCACCGAATGCATCAAAATACTTAAACAAATTAAAGTACTGTACACATCACCGCCGTGCATCACACTGCTTACCTGTATACGTACCACATCGCCGCCGTGCATCACACTACTTACCTGTATACGTACCACATCGCCGCCGTTCATCACACTGCTTACCTGTATACGTACTACATCACCGCCGTGCATCACACTACCTACCTGTATACGTACCACATCACCGCCGTGCATCACACTACTTACCTGTATACGTACCACATCACCGCCGTGCATCACACTACTTACCTGTATCTGTACCACATGACCGCCGTGCAACACTCTGCTTACCTGTATACGTACTACATCACCGCCGTGCATCACACTGCTTACCTGTATACGTACTACAGCACCGCCGTGCATCACACTGCTTACCTGTATACGTACCACATCGCCGCCGTGCAACACTCTGCTTACCTGTATACGTACCACGTCACCGCCGTTCACTACACTGGCTACCTGTATCTGTACCACATCACCGCCGTGCATCACACTGCTTACCTGTATACGTACCACATCACCGCCGTGCATCAAAATACTTACCTGTATCTGTACCACATCGCCGCCGTTCATCACATTACCTACCTGTATACGTACCACATCACCGCCGTGTATCACACTACTTACCTGTATACGTACCACATCACCGCCGTGCATCACACTGCTTACCTGTATACGTACCACATCACCGCCGTGCATCACACTGCTTACCTGTATACGTACCACATCGCCGCCGTGTATCACACTGCTTACCTGTCTACGTACCACATCGCCGCCGTTCATCACACTGCTTACCTGTATACGTACTGCATCACCGCCGTTCATCACACTGCTTACCTGTATACGTACCACATCACCACCGTGTATCACACTGCTGCGTATCACACTGCTTACCTGTATACGTACTGCCGTTCATCACACTGCTTACCTGTATACGTACTGCATCACCGCCGTTCATCACACTGCTTACCTGTATACGTACCACATCACCGCCGTGCATCACACTGCTTACCTGTATACGTACCACATCACCGCCGTTCATCACACTGCTTACCTGTATACGTACCACATCGCCGCCGTGTATCACACTGCTTACCTGTATACGTACCACATCACCGCCGTGTATCACACTGCTTACCTGTATACGTACCACATCACCGCCGTGTATCACACTGCTTACCTGTCTACGTAACACATCACCGCCGTGTATCACACTGCTTACCTGTATACGTACCACATCACCGCCGTGCATCACACTGCTTACCTGTATACGTACCACATCACCGCCGTTCATCACACTGCTTACCTGTATACGTACCACATCACCGCCGTGTATCACACTGCTTACCTGTATACGTGCCACATCGCCGCCGTGCACTACACTGGCTACCTGGTCGTACAGACAGTGCCTCTGGAGACAGAGACGGCGCAGATTCGGGTAAACCTTATGGATTCTTTTGAGGTAAGCCTCCGATTGCATAAAGCTTGATGTCTGTTTTCGGTCTACAACAGTAACGAATTGATATGTTAATAAAAAAAACTATTGGAATACGTCTTGAAATGCAATAATGATGTATCCCAGCTGCACAACTCTTAAAACGTTATTTTGACGCTGTTGTACATCTCATCCACTGATGAAATCCAGGGATGCACACATAAATGTATCTCGAGACAAAACAGTTGATGGCGTTCCAATAAAGTGTGTTAGGCACTACTGATAACTTAAGAACTACATTGAATATGTTTAAATCACCATGGTAAGTCGATTGAGTGACACTGATATTGATTTCTACTGATACAACTTTCCATCTTGCCAAAAGTGGATACGTTAATTATCTTACATGGGGTATTTCTATTTCAACATGCTTTATTCAACTTTATAAAGCATTTTGGAAGAAGAGCTACTGATTTTCAAACAGGTTGCTTTAAAGGTACCATATGTATGTTTGTGTGTAGATAACAGAAAGGTTTTTTGGTGGAGGTAGGGGTTGATGGGAAAGTGTACAACGATTTTCTTAAACAACTCCAGAAACATGTTGTAAAGCGGCAACTATGACAATAGATAATCAATTAAATACTAAATGGATGTCCAGTATATCTATCAGTATACAATTCAGAACGATATGAGGGATTAATGTCAACAAATAGCGTTCTATAAATATTCACACATCTACTAAACTGTTTTCTATAGGTATGTACGACAATATACAGGACAACACAACAGAATGACGACAATATTCAGGACAACAAGACAGAATGACGACAATATACAGGACAACACAACAGAATGACGACAATATACAGGACAACACGACAGAATGACGACAATATACAGGACAACACGACAGAATGACGACAATATACAGGTCAACACGACAGAATGACGACAATATACAGGACAACACAATAGAATGACGACAATATTCAGGACAATACAACAGAATGACGACAATATACAGGACAACACGACAGAATGACGACAATATACAGGACAACACGACAGAATGACGACAATATACAGGACAACAAGACAGAATGACGACAATATACAGGACAACACAACAGAATGACGACAATATACAGGTCAACACAACAGAATGACGACAATATACAGGACAACAAGACAGAATGACGACAATATACAGGACAACACAACAGAATGACGACAATATACAGGACAATACAACAGAATGACGACAATATACAGGACAACACGACAGAATGACGACAATATACAGGACAACAAGACAGAATGACGACAATATACAGGACAACACAACAGAATGACGACAATATACGGGACAACACGACAGAATGACGACAATATACAGGACAACACGACAGAATGACGACAATATACGGGACAACACAACAGAATGACGACAATATACGGGACAACACGACAGAATGACGACAATATACGGGACAACACAACAGAATGACGACAATATACGGGACAACACGACAGAATGACGACAATATACAGGACAACACAACAGAATGACGACAATATACAGGACAACACGACAGAATGACGACAATATACAGGATTACACGACAGAATGACGACAATATACAGGACAACACGATAGAAAATGTTTGACGTTGTTTCTGTTATTTACAGATCTAAATATTCCTAGTACATTGATTGATAAACCGTCCAGTAGATATGGATACCCGATAGAAGTTAAGGACAATGATCTACACATTGTATGCGACTTTGTATAAATCAGTTTGAAATCTTTAAACGAGATCATGAAGGTTCGTTGAAGGTCCGTCGCTAAAATCAACAGACATTTGGAAATTAGGAAATGTATTCGATAATGGGGTTAATGCGCGTCACTATCGTGATTTTGGCATTACTTTCGATTTCTTTAGATTTCCCCCAGTCGCTACTTGGGTTTCTAAGTAAGAGCTGTATGATGCAGACTCTCTGACACAATAAGAGTTATTCCCCTTGGCACGCGAAAGCGAATTCAATATGGAAAGGAAAGCAAGATATGGTTGTCCGTGATCACAGGTCAGCCAAGCTAAAGAACTTGTATTTAAATTATGTGCATCTTGGTATAACCATGCAAAATATAGGATGTCATACTTACCTGGCTTGCACTGGCCTCGGCAAATACTCAATACGGTGCTGTGTCCAGAACAAGTTAGTCCCCCATTTACTGGGAGGGGGTTGTCACAATGTCGTATTCTAGTCATGTTTCCCTCCTCACCACACTTCGCAGTACATTTACTCCAAGGACTCCATGCGCCCCACACTCCGTCAACTAATTAAAACACAAAATAACAAAAAAGGTTCAATGGTTTTTCCTGCTTTGATGCCATTGGTCAACCGAAGTGACACTACTAATGTTCAAATGATATAATGGCATGCATATTGTTACTATTGTCGCTTAATTCTGACGTCTCATTCACTTTAAATCACAGTTATTGCATATTGTTCAGGTGACGTGATTTCAATAAGAAAATATGGCGGCAACCTACAGCTGTTGCTGTGAGTGACATGAATCCTCATGAATTGTCTAACGTGCTCCACATTCACAATATTTGGTAGGTGATCGGATTTGATCTTTTCAAAGATGTCCGTTGTGATCATTTCGATGTGGAGTTTTATGATTACATTATGCAAGGTATTAAGAACATTGAGGCTAATGTACATAGTGAAAGTGCTGTTTTCTTATATAGTGAAGGACATATGTAAATTGCTAAATATAGAAAATAGGTGGGTTTGACGGAGTTGTACATAGCATCAAAAGACAATCCGAATAGTTACAGAGGTATAACATTGTTATCGGTTATTTTTTTAGTGTTTGAAATGCTAATATCAGAAAGAATAAGTTCGGTTTCAGACTAAGATTCGTTTCCAAACAAACACCAATCGGCATACCAGAAATTATTATGTAGTTTATGTACATCTTTTGAGAGTGTTGTGGAAGGTATAACTTGGAGAATGATGAAAATTTCTGTCAGTTTTTTAGACAGTAACAACCCCTTCGACACGGTATAGCACGCTGAAGCACTATTCAAACTTCAGGAGATTGGTTTAAACTCCAAAGTATGGAACCTGTTAAAGGGAATATACACTGCTGTCAGAAGTAGTATTTTGTTCAATGGCATACAGTCTAAATTTTTACCTATGAAAAGGGGTATTTTACAAGAGAATGCGTTATCAGCAAAACTGTATTTGATATTTATCAGTCAGTTGCTGAACAATATTGAACATAGTGGTTAAGATCGATGGTAGTTAACTTTAGAGTAAATGTACCTACTCAAGTTGACGACATATGTCTCATAAGTAATAAATGTAATGATCTAGAATGTATGATAAAGATGTGTGAGGTTTAAAGTAAAAAATATGGAGGCTTTTGTTTTCGTCTTTCAAACGTAAAAAGCGTGTTTTTCGTAAGCTCAAAAGTTTAAAATTCCAAACAATTTTCTATTTATGTTTAAGTTATACCGGAAGTTGAAAATGTTGTCCATGTGGGTATTATGTTAAACTGTCAATTTCAATCGCATGAACGTACAAGACGTGCATGAAATAAGTTTTAAAAATGGTACAATATGTTTAATTAAGAGTGACACAATCCTAGTGGATTAAACCCAGTGACTGCTGGTAAACTTATCAAACAAATTGCGTATTCGTCAGCACTCTATGGTTGTGAGCTTAAGGTTTTATCTAGGAATGAAGCGATGATGTTAGATACAGCATATAGCTTTATTGTAAAAGCATTTCAGGAATTTGATATCAGAACTCGTGCTGACACTGTGTTGTGGACAAATTGGATGGACATCCATAGAGGGTTATATAGATACAAAGAAACTGTTATTTTTTGGAAGACTTTGTCACCTAAACAAAAACACCTTGACAAATAGTATATTTTTAAGGAGACTGTATTCGCCAATGCCGAATAGTACGAAAACAAACCTGGAATTTTATACGATATTTAAGAATTATTGATAAGTACACATTGACATACATATTCCAAAAGTTTATCCAAACAAGTATTTTCCCTTCTAACTGCAATGGAAAAACTAGTTATGACGTCTGTGCTGTTAAGAGGAGAGAGAGAGAGAGAGAGAGTGTGTGTGTGTGTGTGTGGAGGGCGATAGTGAATCAAACTTGTACATCAAAAAACTAGAGCCGCATATATTATGGAAGCTTGCAATGAAATACCCATTTTACAAAAATCGATACATCATATCATGAAAATAGTTTCCAATTTTAACGAATGTACAGAGTTATATCACAAATGTGGAAATATGTATTGAGAAGGCTTAACCCATATTATATTAAACTGTAGCCACACCGTTATTCTATGAGATCAGTTGTGGTGTTCAATAGCTGATATTAGTGATACAGGTGTTTTGTTTAGTGTGTATCTTCATTCCCTGACAGATAATGAACTAACATATGTTTTACTTGGAGGACCATTCAATTACAAACTAAACAATGAAGATGTGAATTAATTCAGGTTAATTTCAGAAGTAGCTATAGAAAAAATGAAGTTGTATTATCGACAGTGTTGTCGTAATTATCACTCAGCCACATTATCTTTTCAAAGTTGAAATTGCAATGAATCTATACTACCTATGCTTGGTATACTCCAGATATAAATTTGATTACAATGTTGATTTCATAGTCTCATTACGTATGTATAATGAAGTGTTTCTACACTACGTATTATGCGTGTACTCTAGATATATATAACTAAAAAGTTAATTTAATAGTCTCATTACAATAAAGTGAATGTTTATGGAGACTATTACGAACTAATACGTTGTATAATGTGATACTTTGTATGTTCACAAGTATGTCAGATATATATGTATTGTCTACTATGTAATCGTGTATTTATGTTCTAAATATGTTGTATTACATGTTCCATTTCTTTTGTACTCATTATTTTTGAGGCAATATAGAGAATAATGATAATAGTCAAGAACGCATTCAGGTTTCTAATTTTGTTTGGGGTTTTTCGTACCGGGTTATATTATTTGCTAATTTCATCAAATGATTTTTGTTTCTCAATTCATTTATGTATGTCTGCAATTTCTCTATATTTCTGTGGCAAAAATGTAATAAATTGATTTTCATACAAACACAGGAGGAAAAAGACCAATATTACTTAAATGAATATGGAATTCTGGAGTGATAATTATGTTACGTTACCTGGACAAGTCTTGATATCTTTTGCTTTAAAGCAAGTATAAGTATGCCAGAAACGGGTCTGAAAAATTAACAAGTACATGTTTTGTAATAATATTAACTTAAAATACACGTGCTGATCAAGACAAAAGCCCGGCAGTTTCGTATCAATAATTCTTTACTGTAACCACCGCACGTTCAGTTATTTGGTTTGAGGAAATCTTTGCGTTAATCAAATGATTGTCGGCTACATGGAAATATTTAGCGTTTAAATGAATACAAAGACACATTTTTGAAAGCCGGGCCGGAACTGAATTGTGGTAACTATATAGGTAATATATACCTTAGCCACGGCCCTGGTACCCGCCAGCCAGCTGCTGTTAGAGATGTCGTTTGCCTTACAGTTATAATCTCCACCACACCTCATCACAAACATAGGTCTTTCTGAAGCTCGCAGATATAGGAGAGAACTCTTCATTTTCTTCCATGTCAGCTCTTTTTCTTTTGCTTTTAAATCTGTGAATTGTGACCGCATGATAAAAAGACTTGTCCTTACGTCACTCAAGGTAGCCCAGTGACGAAGATACATGTCATACTGTTTATATTGTAATCACCTAAATAGTGAAAAGCTAAACAACGTCATACTGAGTGTTATTATTTTGTGTGCTAGATAAGGTTTCGATCCCGTGACCTTCGTTCACTAGTCATTGCCGCTAGTATCTTACCAGGGTTACATGGTATAGATAGCATTGATCACATCGTATTAATAAAACAAACTTAATAAAAATGGTCTTAACTGCACGTGTAGTGCTATGTATTATATCTAGCTTAATTCATGTTGAAGCTGGAAATAAAAAGTCAGAAAACATGCCCAGAAATTATTTAAAAAGGAATTAAATTCATGTCATCAGACCGTTGAATTAGCTTCACGTAGAATTCCGACCCAAACTGTTGGCTGTTTACCCGCAATGTCTCCTGAAGTAGGTTGTTTATCGCCAGCGGCCTGTCCAATATCACAGGAGCATATCCAAATATGAAGTGACAGTAGAAGAATCAGCAAAGTTTCCTGTCAAAATAGGGGGGAAATGTGTTCTTACTGGTTTGCTATGTTGTGATATTTGCATATATGTATCTGCAGGTAAATATACGTATACATATAAAAAATGTAGGAACTCTTAGGAAATCGCTCTCAGGTTAGAAACCAAGTGTAGCGTTACATATCCCCACTGACTAAACACAATGTTTTACCTGCCCCATCCGCGACACACATAAATTCAAAATGAGATTTAATCTCAGCTTGTTAGAGATGTGATAAAAACAATAGCTAATAGTTGAACAACGATCAAGCACTGGACAGCCCATGTCTTTCTTAATTAAATGTTACATGCACCACCTTTACAGCATGTCCATGACTGAGATGACCAATGGAATTGAATCTAAAGGTCCTACAAGACAGAAAAAATAATGATAATTTGATTGATGTGTGTTCCTTAAGCACATTGAACGATTGTACTTACTTTCATCTTTGAACAGTTTTGTTCATCAGACAATAAAGTAATTCATCAAGTAAGCATGCTTCTGCTCTGAAGAGTCAGTGTCTGATATTATGTGACGCCATTTTGAAACATTGACGTCACTTGTAATCTTAATGACGTCATTCACAATGACGTTGAGAATAGTTCACAGACGGCGCACGGTGACCTTGTGTTCCGGAACTATCTCTGTTATCATTTGATTTTTCTTGTGTAAAATATTGAGCTGTGTCATTCCGGACACTCACTACACATATATATTACAAGCTGTAGATGACATTGCACATTACAATCATTTTTATGTTACGTTGATGTCACTGTAACACACAGTACAGTACGTTTTATATATCAACGTAAACGTGATATACTTGTAAACTATTAAAACAAACTATATATGTACATATATTGGAAATTTAACCCATGCTATCCATTTTAAGTCCGTATAGTGACAATACTGTCCATTCATTGCCGATGTATGTATTTTTTAAACCAATGTTATTGTTAGTGAACGATGTGGCCTAGAATACACAATGCTCATTTTTATCTGTTACTTCCGGATAGGGTCATGAGACTTTGTATCATAAGTTGCTGTCACATGAGTGACTATAAATAGAAGTACACACATTCATACAGTGAAGGTTTAATGAGAATACAAACAAAACATTAAGGTAAGATTTAAGTTTGATGTCACATAAACAAACTAATAGATATTGTAAGTACATGGATATGTCTAACATAATTAATGAAACGATATCAATATTTTATAATCTATTAGGAGTAAGCCTGTAGTGTATATTGTAACATGTTGTCACTGTAGTGTAGGACCTATCTCAGCTAATAGGAGGGTCAGTACCCGCGCGTCTGGCACGACATTCAGATCGGACAGTCTGTATTTTGCTGTTTTACATACCATTTTTGTATTCTGTTGTGTACTTCGGTCAGTTTGATAACCTGTAATATCTGTGTGGGGTAGCCTTGCCTGTTTGACAGTCAAAATTATACTTATTATTTCTGTACCTTACCTCGGTCAGTTTAACAACCAGAATCGTGTTTTTGTGGTGTGCCGTGGGCTTTTTGACAGTGTCAATATTGTACTTCAGGCTGTTGACAGCCTTTATTGTAACTCTGTGTTATATCCCGGGCTGTCTGACAGCCCAGAATTATACGTCAGATAGTAGAGTTCCTTAGACTGTTTGACAGCCCAGAATTATACGTAAGATGTGATGTTCCCCGAACTGTTTGACAGCCCAGAATTATACGTAAGATGTGATGTTCTTCGGACTGTTTGACAGCCCAGAATTATACGTAAGATGTGATGTTCTTCGGACTGTTTGACAGCCCAGGATTATACGTTAGATACAATGTTCCTCGGACTGTTTGACAGCCGAGGATTACACGTCTAGCGTGATGTACCTGGTCTCTTTGACAGCCCAGGATTATACGTCAAGCGTGATGTACCTGGTCTCTTTGACACCTCAGGATTACACGTCAAATGTGATGTTCCTCAGACAGCCCATGATTATACGTCAATGTGATTTTCCTCGGACTGTTTGACAGCCCAGGATTATACGTCAATGTGATTTTCCTCGGACTGTTTGACAGCCCAGGATTATAGTCAAGCGTGATGTACCTCAGACTGTTTGACAGTCCAGGATTATACGTCAATGTGATTTTCCTCGGACTGTTTGACAGCCCAGGATTATACGTCAAGCGTGATGTACCTCAGACTGTTTGACAGCTGAGGATTACACGTCTAGCGTGATGTACCTGGTCTCTTTGACAGCCCAGGATTATACGTCAAGCGTGATGTACCTGGTCTCTTTGACACCTCAGGATTACTCGTCAAATGTGATGTTCCTCAGACTGTTTGACAGCCCAGGATTAAACGTCAATGTGATTTTCCTCGGACTGTTTGACAGCCCAGGATTATACGTCAAGCGTGATGTACCTCAGACTGTTTGACAGCCCAGGATTAAACGTCAATGTGATTTTCCTCGGACTGTTTGACAGCTCAGGATTACACGTCAAATGTGATGTTCCTCAGACTGTTTGACAGCCCAGGATTATACGTCAATGTGATTTTCCTCGGACTGTTTGACAGCCCAGGATTATACGTCAAGCGTGATGTACCTCAGACTGTTTGACAGCCCAGGATTATACGTCAAGCGTGATGTACCTCAGACTGTTTGACAGCCCAGGATTATACGTCAAGCGTGATGTACCTCAGACTGTTTGACAGCCCAGGATTATACGTCAATGTGATTTTCCTCGGACTGTTTGACAGCCCAGGATTATACGTCAAGCGTGATGTACCTCAGACTGTTTGACAGCCCAGGATTATACGTCAAGCGTGATGTACCTGGTCTCTTTGACAGCTTGGTAAATGTACCAGGTACCATAGTCGATCGTTGTATGACTATTTATCAGTTTATCTACAAGCTTAAGTCAAATGTGGTGTCGTGCGACCTTTCCTAGTAGCTTATGTATCTGACACCAAAAACGTAGTCATGAAGACGTTCTGTATCAAAATCATTCGGTGACGCTTTCAGACAGTGGCAGGTTAAAAATTGTAGCAGACGACAACATTTTCAAGGTATCAAAAAATATCCAAACATGGAAAACAAATCTTGTCTACTAAACAATACCATAATGTCGTTTATTCATTAAGCTTATAATCAATATAAATATTATTAATTTTTATTCATACGTCCAGATCAATGTTTATCTGGTAAAAAAAATCACGGACAAATGAAACAGGGTTAATTTGGTAGTTTCATTGAGTCCCACTTGAGTAGAAATTGAAATATTAAAGATTAGTTTAATTGCAGGTTGCATACATTTCGCCTAGAACGGAATACAACAACCAGAATGAGCTACCCACAGACCTACCAACAACAGCCTGGGTACGGTACAACATCTGGATACCCCGCTCCGCCGGCAGGAGCCTACCCACCACCCCCTCCGGGCCAGTACCCACAAGGCCAATACCCTGCGGGTCAATACCCACCTCCAGGTCCAGTCTACCAACAGCCAGCAACAGTGTAAGTAACATGGGAAATGTAGCTAGAAAACTGACTTATTCTCGTCGTAACAGGTTAACGGATATGACGACTTTGATATATAAATGCATGTGTCGAGAAAAACGATATTTTAAACGCGAAAATGGTTTTAATACTGTTTCATTGTTTGCCCTTGTAAAGAATGCTTGTTTGCGTTTATTATCATCATTATTATAATTATTATTATCATTATTATTCTACCTTCGTTCATTGACGTGACATAGTCATGTCGTTATATAGGTGGTAAACACTACTGGCGGGTTATTGGTACCAGAGGTTTGTTGTAACCTACATGTTAGGTTTCAATTCACTCGAATAGTGACACATTTAGGCCCATCACTGACGATCCCTAGTAGGACGAAACAGATGTATGATGTAGCATCACTGACGATCCCTAGTAGGACGAAACAGATGTATGATGTAGCATCACTGACGAGCCATAGTAGGACGAAACAGCTGTATGAATTTGCATCACTGACGAGCCCTAGTAGGACGAAACAGCTGTATGATGCATGCAAATTCATTGTTTAGCTCTACTCTATATTATCTAAATTTTATCACATGACACTATTCTTGAGAAACGAAACATGCTTGGGTATTTAATACATGTTTGTAGCTACTACTTCGGTCGGAATTAGAACTATATGATAACAGACATTTTAGACGTGGCATAACCAGTTCCTAAGTCCCCTGAGCTGTAGAAAGTGTCCTCCATGTTGAATGACTTTCCCTACTATGTTACAGTTATGTATATGACGACAGAGGACGCCGCCAAGCAGAGGCCGATAAAGAGATTGCAGAAGACTGTTGCTTGTTAGCCTGTTGTTGCGCAGTATTGTGTTGTTGCTTTGCCAATTCATGAACAGGATAACGTACTATTGGTGAACCTCCTATTTGCGGCATCACCTGTCAGGTTTTGTTTGGCTTTGGCTGTGATATAACAGACGCACTCACTGGCTATCTCAAATCAAATACGACTGGCACTTCAATGAGAAGTGGAGGATGGTCGAGTCAATTGGATAACTTACATATTTCATTGACGCAATCACTAAATGTTTTGCTCCTTAAATTTTAAATCAAAATTTAGAAAAAAAATGTTTGACGTCAAATTCTAATGACGCCAGCTTGAAAACGATACGGTATCATTTTAAAGACTGTTGTACACATTGTTTTTACATATTATGAAAATAACACACTGTTCATGTTGTTAACTGTTTTTTTTTTAATAAAACCGAATAATGAAACTACATATAGTAGTTTGAAGTGTTGTGTTTACTTGTTTACATTCATTTTACTACATGTACCTAACATTAATGGCAGAGCAAAGGAGAATATGCAGAACATGTGCGGTGACTCCCTTCAGAACCTTGCAACATGTGCGGTAATTCCCTTAAGAAGCCTGCCACATGTGCGGTGATTCCCTTCAGAACCCTGCCACATGTGCGGTGATTTCCTTCAGAACCCTGCAATATGTGCGGTGACTTCCTTAAGAACCATGCAATATATGCGGTGACTCCCTTCAGAACCATCCAATATGTGCGGTGACTTCCTTCAGAACCCTACAACATGTGCGGTGATTCCCTTCAGAACCCTGCAATATGTGCGGTAATTCCCTTAAGAACCATGCAATATGTGCGGTGATTACCTTCAGAACCCTGCAACATGTGCGGTGATTTCCTTCAGAACCTTGGAACATGTGCGGTGATTCCCTTCAGAACCCTGCAATATGTGCGGTAATTCCCTTAAGAACCATGCAATATGTGCGGTGATTACCTTCAGAACCCTTCAATATGTGCGGTGACTCCCTTCAGAACCTTGGAACATGTGCAAGGACGCCCTTTAGAACCTTGGAACATGCGCAATGACTCCCTTCAGAACCTTGGAATATGTGCAATGACTCCCTTCAGAACCTTGGAACATGTGCAATGACTCCCTTCAGAACCTTGGAACATGTTCAATGACGCCCTTCAGAACCTTGGAACATGTGCGGTGACTTACAATAAATTTGAATAAAATTGAACTGAATACAGACTTGGTCCAGTAAAACCACCGTGTTGTCTACGATTGTGTTCTTTGTAGCTACACTACGTGTATGGTATATATGGCGAAGACGATATCAAGAGACATATTTTGAAATTATTGATATAATTGATAAAATTTCACTCCTACAGATTTCACAACTTTGACTAATCAGAACACTTTGTGTACATCACAGTGATAGCAAGTTGAGATACTTAACGTTATGAAATATTAAATCAAATCTGTTTCATCGATGTGTTGCTTAAATAAAAAAAAATGCGGTATATAAATTTGAGGTTAACAAAGTTACGAATCAAACCTTACAACCTAACTTTCATTTACCTTGCTTAAATCATGATACATCAGCTTAAAAAAACAGAAACATTGTAAATGATATCTCACCCGAAGTCTTTCCGAAATTTATTCAATTTATCGACACAAATATTGATAGAGCCTTTGCACAATTGTGTATTTGCGCAGGGGCACAGAGCCCATATGTTCCCAGAGAAGCTCACCAAAAGAAATATTTCATCTGCAAAGAATATGAAGACAAATACTACCATTTATACTGATACTTCAACTCCATCATCCATGAATAGTAATGTCGACAGTTTTTGCGTTGCACACCTCCATCAGCAATCGGTCGTCGTTCAACCCTTTCTTTACGTTTGGCTCCTCTGCACACTATAATCAGACTTTCATATGGTAAGCCCCCTATTCTAATCAGAATGAGACTGATTCTGGTGCTCTTTGCATTCCAATGTCATATGCTATGCTTATGAACATCATGGATACTAATTGATAGAACAAGGAATTCAATACTTAAATAACATATATTTTTTTCTATTTTAAACCAAATTTTGTCAAATCCACGTATATGTTCCAGTTATCTTCTGTTACTAAGGATGTGATGGCCAACTCCAATTTCCACATCAACAGTTCAATGGTTTATTTGGGTGTGACTGTTGTTTGTCGACCATGCTTTGTTTATCACTACTTTGTTGATTAGTGAAAATCACTGTTAAATCATTCCAGTTAAGGGGTAAAGAGACTGGCTTTACGATGGCTAGAGCTTCAATTCTTCAGATTGCTGCAATATGGTACCATCAGGTAAGGTTTGACTTTCACTTGGGACCATACAACACACAACACATACTAGTCAATGTTTTGCAATGTTTATTGACATTTTTTATTATAAAAATACATACAACACATCTATATGCTGATCTAACTGTGAACTACATATAAGGAACAGAAAAACAGGACAAACACTGGTAATCAATGATGATAACCCTGACAGAGGAAGTCTGGGTAAGAAATGGGAAATGTAACCCCGACACAGGAAGTCTGGGTAAGATATGGGAAATGTAACCCTGACACAGGAAGTCTGGGTAAGATATGGGAAATGTAACCTTGACACAGGAAGTCTGGGTAAGATATGGGAAATGTAACCCTGACACAGGAAGTCTGGGTAAGATATGCGAAATGTCACCCTGACACAGGAAGTCTGGGTAAGATATGGGAAATGTAACCCTGACACAGGAAGTCTGGGTAAGATATGGGAAAGGAAACCTTGACACAGGAAGTCTGGGTAAGATATGGGAAATGTAACCCTGACACAGGAAGTCTGGGTAAGAAATGGGAAATGTCACCCTGACACAGGAAGTCTGGGTAAGATATGGGAAATGTAACCCTGACACAGGAAGTCTGGGTAAGATATGGGAAAGGAAACCTTGACACAGGAAGTCTGGGTAAGATATGGGAAATGTAACCCTGACACAGGAAGTCTGGGTAAGAAATGGGAAATGTAACCCTGACAGAGGAAGTCTGGGTAAGATATGGGAAATGTAACCCTGACAGAGGAAGTCTGGGTAAGAAATGGGAAATGTAACCCCGACACAGGAAGTCTGGGTAAGAAATGGGAAATGTCACCCTGACACAGGAAGTCTGGGTAAGATATGGGAAATGTAACCCTGACACAGGAAGTCTGGGTAAGAAATGTCACCCTGACAAAGGAAACCTTGACACAGGAAGTCTGGGTAAGATATGGGAAATGTAACCCTGACACAGGAAGTCTGGGTAAGAAATGGGAAATGTCACCCTGACACAGGAAGTCTGGGTAAGAAATGGGAAATGTAACCCTGACACAGGAAGTCTGGGTAAGATATGGGAAAGGAAACCTTGACACAGGAAGTCTGGGTAAGATATGGGAAATGTAACCCTGACACAGGAAGTCTGGGTAAGAAATGGGAAATGTAACCCTGACACAGGAAGTCTGGGTAAGAAATGGGAAATGTCACCCTGACACAGGAAGTCTGGGTAAGATATGGGAAATGTTACCCTGACACAGGAAGTCTGGGTAAGAAATGGAAATGAAACCTTGACACAGGAAGTCTGGGTAAGAAATGGGAAATGTAACCCTGACACAGGAAGTCTGGGTAAGAAATGGGAAATATAACCCCGACACAGGAAGTCTGGGTAAGAAATGGGAAATGTCACCCTGACACAGGAAGTCTGGGTAAGAAAAGGGAAATATAACCCTGACACAGGAAGTCTGGGTAAGAAATGGGAAATGTCACCCTGACACAGGAAGTCTGGGTAGGAAATGGGAAATGTCACCCTGACACAGGAAGTCTGGGTAGGAAATGGGAAATGTCACCCTGACACAGGAAGTCTGGGTAAGAAATGGGAAATGTCACCCTGACACAGGAAATCTGGGTAAGAAATGGGAAATGTCACCCTGACACAGGAAATCTGGGTAAGAAATGGGAAATGTCACCCTGACACAGGAAGTCTGGGTAAGAAATGGGAAATGTAACCCTTACATCGAAGTCTGGGTAAGTAAAGCCCCTCTCATCCCTTCTCAGGAAGTCAAAGCACAGAAATGTATCCCTTCCAGACTTGAGAACACTGGGTAATAAATGAATACTTTAGATACAGAGTTGGCTGCAGATATGGGTTTCAATGGAAATGAACTGGAATGGCTAGATCAATCCGCACTTGGAGAGTCCCAAACTCATCCCTAAGGTTGTGTCCATTTTTTTGAAGACTTATGTTACTTTGAAGTAAAAGTCAATATCCTACAGACAGTCCCATCCCTGTAACCATTTCCAAATTGTTTAGCTCTGGACCATTGACATTTTTATTCATACAGCTAAAACTTTGCATCCCTGAACAAATTGTACCATCACTCGTTCTGGATCACTCTCAACATTCATACAACTTTCTCATAGCACCACATATTACTTGTCCAATAGATTCCATGTGTTGGGCAGGCCTTATTCCCAGTGAGCAGGAAGGACACATATTTCATTCTTTAAGACATATGGGTCAAACATTTATGCCATAAAATGGAACTATAATTGAATAAAAAAAGGATTTCTTGAAGAGAAAAATTAGGCCAGTTATTTTCTGTTACTTATTTGATCGAATGCTCTTTCATTGTTTGGAGCTGCAATGAAAAGCCATCTGTCCTACCTGTGGGTAGAAGTGTACAGTTGTAGTAGAAATACAGCCACACAGCACTAAGATGTCCATTACTAGGGTAGAATGGGAGAGACCCTATCAATTCTTATCTAGACACACTTTAACATAGGAATTCTAAATAACTTAACATTCACTTTATATTAATAACAATTTAAACATCACATCAAATGTAATAATACATCATTTGCATAAAAGAAAATATGATAATGAACAACCATTGTAATTATCAGTACCTGTGAAAGGCATAGTACACACATCAGATTTAGAGCACTTGTAGTGTGTTGCACACAAACCATGCACATAACACACAAATTGTACAACACATCCAAATTGTACATCAGATATTCAGTATATCTGCGTTGTATGCACACACGCACTATGCATGGTACACATAAAGTGTACAATACAACTGAAATATGCTGAATATATTTAGTATACCTTCAAAGTATGCACACACACTCACACACTATGTACAGTACAGATACAGTGTACATTGCACCCGAAGTATATATTCAGTATATCTGCAATGTTTTCACACACTTTATGTACAGTATATATAGAGTGTACTACATTTTAAAGTACATATACATTGTATGACATACATACAATGTATAATACTCATACAGTGTACAGCACCATACAGTATACAGCACCATATAGTGTACAGCACAGCACCATACAGTATACAGCACCATACAGTGTACAGCACCATACAGTGTACAACACCATACAGTATACAGCACCATACAGTGTACAGTACAGCACAGCACCATACAGTATACAGCACCATACAGTGTACAGCACAGCACAGCACCATACAGTATACAGCACCATACAGTGTACAGCACCATACAGTATACAGCACCATACAGTATACAGCACCATACAGTGTACAGCACAGCACCATACAGTATACAGCACCATACAGTGTACAGCACCATACAGTGTACAACACCATACAGTGTACAGCACAGCATAATACAGTATACAGCACCATACAGTAAACAGAACCATACAGTGTACAACACCATACAGTGTACAGTACAGCACAGCACCATACAGTATACAGCACCATACAGTGTACAGCACCATACAATGTACAGCACAGCACCATACAGTGTACAGCACATCTACAGTATACAATACATATACATTGTACAATACACCTAATGTTGTTATCACATACAATCAACTCCATTTCATTGCCTTCAGTCTCAAGGAAATTATTTGACATATGAAGGAAAAGGTACATATCAATGAAACAAACTGATCAATATTGTTCTAAATCATTGGCTTATTGTCCATGCTTCCATAATTTCTTCTGTATCAATTCATTTGTAATAAAGCATGTCTGACACAAAATCATTATAATATGCGGTGGTACATTCCTCAATTATTTACTGTATGACATTAAACCACAATGAACACTTAAAACCAAGGGCTCCATAACTGACCACTTGATTGCCTTCTAACACACCTACACAAAGGTAAAAGGATAATAAAGTGTACTAGATATAAATAAACACTTCTTTCAGTTTATTTTTAGTCATTCATGACTATCAATCATTACATAAAGATAATTTAGAATAACATTTAAAAAAAAATGAAATATATTTTCAAATTACTATTAATATTAATCTCTTGAATTTAATTTAAATTGAAAATATTCCAAATGTTTTTGTAAATACATACATCAATGTCACATTGATGGCATAAAAAAACAACAAAAAACAAATAAAAAAAAACATATCAGTAATCAAAATGCAAAGTGATACTGTAAAGTAACAAATGTTAAATAATACTGATCTCTCAGACATCTTCAACACAGCACAAAAATAGTAAGAACAAAGTAAAAACAGCTCAACAAGGATCTGACTTTACCTGATGAAAATGCTTCATGATAAATGAAATATTTAGAACTTGGAAACATTTAATTAACAATTGTTCGTGAATAAATTGCCTTTTTAAATGAAACTAAGACTGACGAGACATATAGAATATAAGTAACATACATACTCAGGTAAAATTTACAGGTAAACATTTATATATCACAAAGATAAACAATAAAATTGCATGGCAACTGATACTACAGCAATATTGTAATTAAAACGGCTGGTAACTTTAAATCACCATGTTATAAATTAATACAGTAGACAATGATAATCAGCATGCAGTCTATAAATACACTGTTAATATGAAAGTATACAAAACTTAGATCCATAATAAATAGTAACGATGGACTATATACATATGCATGACCGAGAAGGAATGTTTGCCATTTAATGTTCCAAAGAGAATGGTCACCTATTATGACATCTAAAGCAGAAAACGATACTATCATTTAATATCTTGTAAACACTATTATATAGCTTTGGTCCCCACTGGGCTATGGCACAACATTATTACATAGCAACAGGTTTCACAGTTACACACAGATATCATTTATCATTATAGGTGTATTTATACCAAAATGTAGGCGATAGACAGGTGTAGGGTTTTAAATCATTCTCTGTTGAACAGCTGAAAGGATTCACAATCAAATCAATGTAGGGTTCATAACTGTAACATGTAGGACTAGATGTTCATGTAACATATCATCTTTGTTACCTGTAACACAACATCAAGGCTAGGTGCACCAGGCTAGCTGTTCATGTGACAATCTCTAGGCTAGGTGCACCAGGCTAGCTGTTCATGTGACAACCTCTAGGCTAGATTGACCAGGCTAGCTGTTCATGTGACAACCTCTAGGCTAGGTGCACCAGGCTAGCTGTTCATGTGACAACCTCTAGGCTAGGTACACCAGGCTAGCTGTTCATGTGACAACCTCTAGGCTAGGTACACCTGGCTAGCTGTTCATGTGACAATCTCTAGGCCAGGTACACCAGGCTAGCTGTTCATGTGACAATTTCTAGGCTAGATTCACCAGGCTAGCTGTTCATGTGACAACCTCTAGGCTAGGTGCACCAGGCTAGCTGTTCATGTGACAACCTCTAGGCTAGGTACACCAGGCTAGCTGTTCATGTGACAAACTCTAGGCTAGGTGCACCAGGCTAGCTGTTTATGTGACAACCTCTAGGCTAGGTGCACCAGACTAGCTGTTCATGTGACAACATCTAGGCTAGGTGCATCAGACTAGCTGTTCATGTGACAACCTCTAGGCTAGGTACACCAGGCTAACTGTTCATGTGACAACATCTAGACTAGGTGCATCAGGCTAGCTGTTCATGTGACAACATCTAGGCTAGGTGCACAAGACTAGCTGTTCATGTGACAACATCTAGGCTAGGTGCACAAGACTAGCTGTTCATGTGACAATCTCTAGGCTAGGTGCACCAGGCTCTAGCTATTCATGTGACAACCTCTAGGCTAGATGCACCAGGCTAGCTGTTCATGTGACAACCTCTAGGCTAGATGCACCAGGCTAGCTGTTCATGTGACAACCTCTAGGCTAGGTGCACCAGGCTAGCTGTTCATGTGACAACCTCTAGGCTAGGTGCACCAGGCTAGCTGTTCATGTGACAACCTCTAGGCTAGATGCACCAGGAGCACCAAGCTAGCTATTCTTGTGACAACCTTTAGGCTAGGTGCACCAGGCTAGCTATTCATGTGACAACCTCTAGGCTAGGTGCACCAGGATAACTATTCATGTGACAACCTCTAGGCTAGGTGCACCAGGCTTGCTATTAATGTGACAACTTGTAGACTAGATGCACTAGGCTTGCTATCAATGGGACAACCTCTAGGCTAGGTGCACCAGACTAGCTGTAACAATAAATGCTTCTTTAGTATTTGAAGTCAGATTTTAGATAAGGTTAAGCTTTAACTACAACATAATATATTCTAAATAGTTGAATTTATGAATTCTTGAATATTTATTACATTGATTCCTTTGGTACATCATTTATAATTATTATGCCTGTACATAATTTATTACTAGATTATCGGAGGAAAATAAAACATCGAAATTGAAATAAAGACATCAGTATTTTAGTGTGGACTGATAGGAAAAGCGTGTTGTGAGAAAAATCATTTTATGTTGAATCACATAAATGCATGGAATGAAGAAATTTGTTCACTGCATATTATCATATTAACCGTACAATGATTACATATATACAGATACTTCTGCATAAACTATTTTACATCACAAGTCAGCCTAAAAACAAATCTAGTTACCTCTCCTTGTTAAATATGGACAATACACAGCCAATGTGTTCGAAAAAAAGAAAGAAAAATTTCATTTTTCTTTGAAATGCAAGCAAGATCAAAATCTTTATGAAAAATGCTTTGTAAATATTGAGTGTTCTGGACATGTACTTTTGTAGTACTGATGACCTCTCTCTGGCCAGAGCATTTTATAATCATGTATGGTCCTGCACTTATTCTATAGCTGACCAAAGTGTAGTTTACGTCCGAAGATCTCCGCTGAAGATCTTGCCTGCAACAAACATGTTGTTTATACTCTCAGACTGGTGGTGTCTTGAACATGTTTTCGGCCCTCTGATCATACCTGGGGTAAACAGTCTTTGGCCTCAGACTTGAGATATCACACAGTTCTGCTCTCATACTGGTGTCATAGTGAACTTGTACATGGTTCAATTCTGAATGTTTGTGTGATCACTGTCAGACTGGCACAGACGGCTCACTAACAACCACATTGCGCATCTTATTCTTTTTATCTAGATGCATATCATGATAGCCAGCCCTTGGCAACTTTTTGGGAGGCAGGTATGATTTATCTACATAGTCTATTTGTGGCTTTTTACCAGGCAGTATTGGGCAATCCTTGTCAGCAATGACATGCTCTGGGGAGCCTCGTTCATTCCAGGAAATGCTGTCGGGATAGTCTTTGGTTTGGGAATTATATATGGGATAATTATAAACAGCGCTAACCTCACTGTCAGCACTACCAGTTGTTGAAGAATCACTAGAGGTCAGGGAGGACTGTGACCCAACACCATTGGCATTGACATAAATAGGTATCTCAGCCTTGGTATCCATCTGTCGAGAAGAGGCAGCCTTTCCATGACTGTTGAAGAGCTTTTTCTCATGGGGAAAAGGAGTACTCCCATAGATAGGGCTATTTAATGAACGATCATCCTCACCCTCACTGATATGAAGTGGGATCAAAGCTTCTGTATTTTGAGGGTCCTCTTCCTCACTACTGGCCCCGCCGACAGAGTCCATGCGTAACACTGGTATAGCAGTAGGTGAACATCCATTATATGGGGGAGGAGGGTCAAATTTGTCCTTGGGTTTGGCCTCTTTGGATGTTCCAGGTTTGGCATCCTGTGGGATACTCTGACTGCGAGATGACCGGGGTGAATTAGGATTCCCAGGACCTGTGGAGGCACGGTTGTTAGGATGTTTCCCACCTACAGACACTGCTGAGAGTCGGTTACGTGAGTTTGCCTGGGAGGGGGAGTTATGTTGTGGGAGTCTGTTGAGTGGATTACTGTAGATCCTCATGTTAGTGTTAGGGTTGACAGGCATGAAGCTTGTCTCATCTGTTTGAGTTTCCTAAAATGCATAAAACAGCTAGATGATAACAGCACACAAGTGATAGTTTTATGTAATGGATAAAACAGCAGTTTCATGGTTTTTGAAGCTGGGAATATAACAAAAATTCCATGTCAGGGATATAAAAACAGTCTAATGTCAGGGATATAACAGGGATATGACAGTAGTCTAATATCAGGGATATCACAGTAGGTTTAATGTCAGGGATATCACAGTAGTTTAATGTCAGGGATATAACAGTAGGTTTAATGTCAGGGATATCACAGTAGTTTAATGTCAGGGATATCACAGTAGTTTAATGTCAGGGATAAAACAGTAGTTTAATGTCAGGGATATAACAGTAGGTTTAATGTCAGGGATATCACAGTAGTTTAATGTCAGGGATATAACAGTAGGTTTAATGCCAGGGATATCACAGTAGTTTAATGTCAGAGATATAACAGTAGTTTAATGTCAGGGATATCACAGTAGTTTAATATCAGGGATATCACAGTAGTTCAATGTCAGGGATATAACAGTAGGTTTAATGTAAGGGATATCACAGTAGTTTAATGTCAGGGATATAACAGTAGTTTAATGTCAGGGATATAACAGTAGTTTAATGTCAGGGATATCACAGTAGTTTAATGTCAGGGATATCACAGTAGGTTTAATGTCAGGGATATCACAGTAGTTTAATGTCAGTGATATAACAATAGGTTTAATGTCAGGGATATCACAGTTGTTTAATGTCAGGGATATCACAGTAGTTTAATGTCAGGGATATAACAGTAGTTTAATGTCAGGGATATCACAGTAGTTTAATGTCAGGGATATCACAGTAGTTTAATGTCAGGGATATCACAGTAGTTTAATGTCAGGGATATCACAGTAGTTTAATGCCAGGGATATCACAGTAGTTTAATGTCAGGGATATGACAGTAGTTTAATGTCAGGGATATCACAGTAGTTTAATGTCAGGGATATCACAGTAGGTTTAATGTCAGGGATATCACAGTAGTTTAATGTCAGGGATATAACAGTAGTTTAATGTCAGGGATATAACAGTAGTTTAATGTCAGGGATATCACAGTAGTTTAATGTCAGGGATATAACAGTAGTTTAATGTCAGGGATATAACAGTAGTTTAATGTCAGGGATATCACAGTAGTTTAATGTCAGGGATATAACAGTAGTTTAATGTCAGGGATATAACAGTAGTTTAATGTCAGGGATATAACAGTAGTTTAATGTCAGGGATATAACAGTAGTTTAATGTCAGGGATATAACAGTAGTTTAATGTCAGGGATATAACAGTAGTTTAATGTCAGGGATATCACAGTAGTTTAATGTCAGGGATATAACAGTAGCGAAGGATACAAGATTAGTTTGTGTTATGGATTTAATTTGAAAAGGTTGACCTTTGATCCTTTAAACTTTATATATGTCCAGCAAAACTAATCAAGTGGGGGTATAAATAGTACTTACAAAGTATCTAGAGAAGACAACACAAAGAATTAAATATCATTCTTAACATCCAAATATATTCCTTATAAACATGTCACTGATCAGGCTCCCACCTTATGTATGTGTTCTGTCAGAGCTGGTGGCAGGGTTTTGATCTTGGGTGCGGTTCCTCCATCTACATCGTCCATCGAGTTAAGGAGGCGGTAACTAGGGGGAATGTATACCTGACTATCTAACTTGCTGTTTTTGCGCTTCTTTTCTTCCTGGCGTTGAAGAAACTGTTCTCTCCGCTTCCTAAATTCAAACAAGACACATTACAATGTCTTTTCTAACTTTTATGTATCAGAGTAGAACTTTAAATACACCTATTATGTTTTATACACACAGATGTACATATAATGTGAGAATATTTTGCCTATATTTAGAACAATTACTGTCAAAAAGTAAAGACGAGACTTCAATGTTAATTATGAAAGTTTGATACGAACATCATACGAGTACTTACTTAGCCAGGAAGTAGGAAGCAATACAAATGCATACAAAAATCAATATGCCAATCACAATTCCTATAATGGTTATGGTCCGGTCCTTCTCATGTGCCTCAGGGTCTGTAAAAAAGATAGGACCACAAAATAAAACATCTCCCACAACCAACTATGTTGTAATACACATATTAACATTTTCAGTTCTATTTGAGTTATTTCCCCCTTCTCATATAGCAGTATCCCAGTCTGTTACAAGTAGGTAAAGAACAAAACATTGTTGTTTTTTTTTTTACAGTAGAAGGAGTTGTAAATATCCCTCAAGATTACCTCCCGACAGCAGTTATATAACTATAACTCACACATTACCTCCCTTAAGTTGTATAACTATCCCTCATAAATTACCTCCCTTCAATTGGTCCTATCTTTCAAAGTTACCTCCCTTCTTTAGTAACTAACTCCCCCTCTTCCCATTACCTTCAGTTGTAACTGCACCACAAATGTTACCTTTATTATACATTATCTCCCTCATCTACTTGGTCATTCTAAAATAAGAGTTTACTAGCAAAAATCAATATGTGTATATATGAGTACATGTAATATAAATTTACAAAAAAAACAAAATGGAAACAAATTAATAAGAGTTTAAATCTGGTTATAATATAAGCAGACAGATCTGTAAGCATCTAGATGACCTACTGTATTTTGATGAATAACTGATGACAACATAAATGGAGAATTTGATATTCTTGTACAAGGAAGCCAGCAACTATAGAAAATCTTCACACTCATTTTGACTGATACTCTTTGTAGTTCCACCCCACCCCCCACCCTATCTCTAGTAAACATAATGTTTCTCCTCCTTTCTATATCTAGTAAACATAATGTTTCTCCTCCTCCCTATATTTAGTACACAATACAGAATTCCCCTTCATGTTGACATAATGGTTTTCCCATCCACAATGCTGTTTGAACATTGTGGTTCCTCCCTTGATAAATAATGATGATGACTGAACTCAGATGAGAATACCCGGTACTGACAATATAGCAGCAGAGGTGATCATTTATCAAATGTCTAGGAGCTTAGTTAACACTAATGTGTAAAAATCCAGTGTACTAAATACAAAATGTCTACAACACTGTTAGTGTGTGGAAAAAAACATACACCTCTCTAGTCAAAGACCCTTTTACCCTAAAGCAAAACACAAAACAAAACAAAAATAACGAAAAAACGTCTAAGTCATTCACAAAGCCAGGTTCTTCCTGTAAGTATGAAGAATGATGAAGACCTGAAGTCAGCAGGTTTGTGTGACTGTGACTATGAGAGATTTTCTCTCTATCAGTCAGCAGGTTTGATAGTGACAGCAAGAGATTTCCTCCCCATCTGAGTCAGCAGATTTGTGTGATGATGACAACAACATAGTAACTCTCTATAAGTCAACAGGTTTGTGTGACTGTGGCTATGAGAGATTTCTCTCTACAAGTCAGCAGGTTTTCAAAGCGTTGGCTATGAGATTTCTCTCTACAAGTCAGCAGGTTTTCATGGCGTTGGCTATGAGATTTCTCTCTACAAGTCAGCAGGTTTTCATGGCGTTGGCTATGAGAGATTTCACTCTAGCAGTCAGCAGGTTTGTACATTATATATAATGAATACAGGATTTATGTTCTACTAGTAAGTAAATCTGTTTAATGATGAGTGATTTTCACCTCTGATATTATTTTAGTCTCTATCAACGGATAATTTCATGTGAGATGTGTGGTAGTATGCATTAACAAGCTGGAAAAATTACATTTTTTCAGATGTTTACTTGCATTTAACCAACCATAACCAATGTCCTCGGTACATCATCATCTGTATATAGTTTTATTCTGCTTAACTGATTCTATAACAAAGAAAAGGATAGTGTATCTCCTCACATTAGCTAACATACTAGTTGCTCTTATGACACCTTTCTTTATTTGGGAAATTAAATCAGATAAAATATCAGAACAAATCAAATATTCTTTATTCAAGGAAAGTGATTTAATCATATCAGCCACTTCTCATTTCTATAACTAATATTCACCAGCTGTCAGCAGGTTCCTAAATCCGTGTGCCCACTCCTTTCCTCGACAAACACATGTAACGTTTTATTTCTCTTGGCTATGGCTACCTATGATTAAACATCACGCTAACTGACTGACCCTCCTGATACCAATAAACATTCATAAACTGTGAATTTAGTCGCAGGCCGAGTCCATGGAGTTCCAGACAACAAGGAAACAGCCATATGGTGATGTTGACCAAGACCACTATCTGTGTACTTGAAGAGTTCTGGAGTCTGACATGTTGACAGTATCTCAGCATACTGATCAATCAGCTGACACACAAGGTAATTTGTCTAAAGAACAATGATTCTTACTAAAACCTGATTTTAGTCCTCAAAATAAGTTTCAAAGAGGAGTTATCTCCCTTTATATACAGCTTGGGTTCCTTGTATCAGTGCAACTATGTGCTGACCTTAATTCATAGCCAATTAACTATATTTAAGATGATGGTTATCATCCCAAACAGTTCATCTTCTAGCAGCCAAAACAACTTACAACAGATAGAGAAATAATAAGCTCTAAACTGACAGCAGCAGCTGGGCTGCACCAAAGACAAAACATTATAGGAACATTCTACACAGGCCATTCTGTAATAGTGCTATGTTTTCTGTGTAAATATCATTTGGAGGGTCCAACATTCCAGATTTTATGCTAATTGTTTTCAAAGAAATGTTGTTTGGCAGCTTGCAATGTTTTTATGTGGCCAATGAGGTAGACAGTGCACTCAAGCCTACAGTGTAGTCCAGCACATCAGGAAATAATTGATACATGTGTAAACATCAAGATGTGATATACATCTTTAAACAAGGTTGGTGTTTTAAGAGCTGCATAATCGAGGACCAATATCTATTGGAAAAGGGTTTTTGGGCGAGTAATGAAACTGACATGTAATTTCAATACCACCATTTCAACAGTACTATGGAATTATTTCTTTAAAATGGACAATATCTTAGAATTCAAAGATGCTTGAAAAAACATTTACCAATTGGCAGCAAAAAGGAGACAATGTTCACTTATATAGCATTGACAATTCTGGAGTAGGAGTGGTGTATGATAGCTTTCTTAATAAATACAGTTCTATTGAATCAGGGCCCTAGAGAAAAAACAATTACACACAGCTTGCTAGCCAGTTATCTGTACAGTTTGTATATTGCTATAGGATTTTATCCAATTTGAAGAGAGGTGTATCCCAAGAGAGTCCGTGGATACAACCTGTCAGCATTGATTACTGGTAGTAACGGCTCAAGTGTTTCCCTAGTCTTCATCACAAAAATTGGCCACTTGATTCCAGGACGACAAATTTAGCAGTCTGCTATCCAACAGGATGATAATGACAGGATCGGGGATGTCAAATTACACGAGAGCAAGTATTTATATCCTTAACCTTTAAGCAATCACTGCTTTTTAAAAAATATGCCATAAAGATTAGAGTAAGTTGCACATTTTCCTCTTCACGCAAGTTATAAATAAGACTGCTATCATAAGCAGTATTTTTTGGGGGATAAATACAGTGAGTAATGGCTGATAATAAAGATGTAGATAAGATCCAGATTAGAGGTACTCTAGCAAGGATGCCTCTCTAATGTAGCAGCTCTTCATTTAACTGAGGTACACAATACCCATACACACTTATCCAAGATTCAAAGGTCACAAGAATCAAATGTGTCGTTAACTTTTGGTATTCACCATACAGCCATTGTTCAGATGAACAATATATATATACAGTCCCATCACAGTACGAGGATTGGTGTCTAAGGAGACATCTACAGCAAGGGTCATCTGAGGATGTGTGTCTGGGGAGACACCAACAGCCAGGGTAATATGAGGATGGATGTCTGGGAAGACACCAACAGCCAGGGTAATATGAGGATTGGTGTCTAAGGAGACATCTACAGCAAGGATCATATGAGGATGGGTGTCTGGGGAGACACCAACAGACAGGGTAATATGAGGATGGATGTTTAGAGAGAAATCAACAACCAATGTTATATGAAAACTGGTTTTACCACAGGCAGTATGATATAACAAGAGCATTCTTTTCTTGCTCCTGCATGGGTTTATCAGGTGGTATTCTTAACATTTGCATTGTAATTAGCAGGTAATTTAAAACAACACCAAAGTCTGTAACATCCTTGTAGAAAAGAAAACCACCTGTGCTATCTTGGCAGCACAACAATAATAAACCATTTCGCTGATCTTTCTTTGTAATACATTGTGTAAGCAATAGGTTGAAATCCACATGTACATGATCTTTTCATGGTAAATCAAGAACAAAAAAAACACTCGTACTTTCGTTGGGAATATGGGTACATCAATTTCTTTATATTACTATTTTTGACTTTACACTTGTTTTGGTCGTCGATGCAGGTAAGTTGCACGGTAAACATCACACCTAATTTTTCCTAACAAATAAAGCTTCTTTTTACGTGACACCATTAAATGTATTCAGCTTCTAAAAAATGTCTAGGAAGCAGTTACAACATATAGTTCCCCGCACAGCACACAGGGAAGGCGTGGCTCAAACAAAGGGGGTGTGACTAAGAGAAAGAGGTTGTGGTCCAGAGCAAATGGTTGTGTAATTTGGCAGAAGACACCCCATTATACCTACACAATGAACAGGTGTAATAAGGACAATGACAAACATTGTGATGAGGAAATAGGTGACAGAAAACATTGACAGAAATGACTTTACGGTAAAACATGACCCACCCAACCATTCCACGTCCCCTCAGCATGACAACTACACCCAATTATTAGCAAAAGCTCAGTACAATGTAACATATCCAGATGAACTGCTATCAATACAAATTACAGATATCTGTAATTAGGGGCATCTTCTTCAGGATTAACCCTATATCACTGGGATTTCATTATAACCTCATAACACTTATAGCCATATTTCATATAATCCTTTAGTCTCATCTTATCACTTTTACTCTGAGTTGTCTGCTACATGGGTGTGGCTATGACAACATGAGACAATATGGTAAATTCTCCACTGATACCTACCCTCGATATATGGATATACAAATGGGCTTCTGTACTGGCACCGAGTCCCCTGATGTGTTTGTGGACACCTAGCAGAGGCAACCGATAGAAAGGAAAGACATGAGTTTAAACCAATCACAGAAGGCATATATACAAAGAAACAACTGGATGACTTGTGTGCAGGCATCTCAGCAGGATTGCAAGCAGACCAATCACAGCACTGGTTCCAACAAGTCCAGGTCAAAGTCACACTCTAGGTCACAAATTATCGTAATCAGACATTCTGTGAATTATATTTTGCTCCACTCTGACAAAAAAGTGACCTTGAGAGACATTAAGGGTGACTCGGACTTGATGGATTGTTGGAAGAGTGCTGTGTAGGAAAACGTGCAGGGTTTTGTTAGCAGAGTTTAGTAGCCTTGACCAGACTGTAGGTGGGTCCATTCCTCTGGCAGTCATAAAATGTGGCATTCAAGTTCAATCCAATATACTCCCAAAGCATGCTCTATTGTAGGCTGTACAATCATTTGTTCCAAATCAATCCTACCTAGCTTCTCCATGCTCTAATCAACAATTTATTTGTGGATATTTCAAAGAACAGCTATTAAATAAACAACTATTAAAAAATAAAAAAAATAAAAATAAATTTGGTTGTTAACTTTATTAGTATTGTTTTCTGAATAAAACGTATCATGTCATGCTTTTCTCTCCATTATTTTGTCAAAAAACAAAATAGGAACCAAAAATACTCCACGTTGCTACCTGATTGATATGTGAGGCCATGAATAATATAGTTGGTGCAAAACTTGGCATGCTTGGTTGTCAAATGTCATGTATAAAATCTGCTTTAACATCTCCAATATCAATGGAATTTCAAATTTCATCATTTCATGCATCATGAACTTGATCTCTTAACACTTTTATTGAATGTCATGCATTAACAATTAAAAATCAATACTGGCAATACAATATCTTATACCACAGGAATAACTCAAAATATCTTCATTTTGAAAGTACAAATTTCATCAATGAACTTGTTATTTTTATTCTTCTTGAACTGGTTTGAAAATATTAAGCATGCAATCTTGCTTAAAAACTTCCTTCGAATATATCCCAAAAACAAAGAATTTCCTATCAAGCCTATTTGTGAAACAATTTCTGAATGTCATGTGAACCTGACACTTTCTTATGGTTTCTATAATGGATGATTGTTTTAATCTTTTGTTTCTGTTTCAACACTGTAGAGCCTGATATAACATGCTGTGAGTGCAGGCTGATTGAACTTGAATGCAGACATGAACATTGACAGGGATCCTTCCCTACCTCTCTGTACACTGGGCAGATCAGGCAGATCCGACAGTTGTTGGATGCGCTCTTCACACCGCGCGCCACGATAGGAATCTCTGCAGCTAAACAAATACACCATCACCCCAGTTAGCATTGTCATATACTCTACCTACCATCAAACCACTGCCTACCAATCACAGTATTTCACACTCATCATTCAATTATTTCAAGTTTGAATAAGTTCAGGACAGATCAATATGCAGATAACAGTTAATCCAAAGTTGTACTTTGCAAATTTTTATCATACAAGTGTATTATGGGAATTCTTATCATACAAGTGTATTATGGGAATTCTTATCATACAAGTGTATTATGGGAATTCTTATCATACAAGTGTATTATGGGAATTCTTATCATACAAGTGTATTATGGGAATTCTTATCATACAAGTGTATTATGGGAATTCTTATCATACAAGTGTATTATGGGAATTCTTATCATACAAGTGTATCATGGGAATTCTTATCATACAATTGTATTATGGGAATTCTTATCATACAAGTGTATTATGGAACTGTGATGGGACAAGCAATGGTTATGTTTCTATCAGGACTTACCCAAAGTCCCCCAATGTCATAACAATGTACATACTTACCTGTACCTTTAAAGAAAGCATTGTTTTAATTATGAAAATATGATGTACTCTTTATGACACCACTGAGGTGGTCTTGAGTTTACATTTCTAACCCCTAAAGGTAATTAAAAAGCATGAGTAAGCTGATTTCTAATGTTATGTATTAAAGCTATCTACAACATCTGCCAATATCCTATCACTTAACACTGTAAATCACGTTTCTCATTCACTATTTCTTCATTATTTACCAAATATTAGGCTTGTATTGTTTTTGTATATCATTAAGAATTTTACAATTCCAAATTGACAATGCCTTTATAACCTGTACATTATACAGACAGTACATTTAAAAGTATGACGACCCCCTGGGGTAACTGAAACATCATGATTTATGTTCTAGTCAGCTATTGTTTTGTTTCACTAAGATCCCTTATTCATCCCACCAATGCAGTATAGAGTACATGGTGATTGTCAGGTTCGATACCTGTACTTTACTTTTGTACGTCTCTAGGACCAAAGTATTCTCAGGTCTAAACAATCCTGGCTGTTTGTATAAATGTCACATAACAAGTAATTAAAATTCAGCCCATGTTTCATCTAATCAACAATTTACATCTCATATTTTCCCTTTTCTTCTCATTGTCATTCGAACTATGTCATAGTTGTTGACAGATCTATATTTAACGTTTATATCTTAAAATATCACTTCAAACGGGCTTTGAATTTTGTTTTCAACTTCAATCACAATCCTAGTCACTAACAACATAAATACACAAGATGTGATAAATGTTTTCAGGGCATATCAACACAAAATTTTCAGTGGACATACCCACACATCTATCTACAACATGACAATAAAACACAATACTTTATATATACACACTGCATGAAATTTCAACAGGACACACCCACATACCTATGACTTGAGATTTCCAATGAAACAGGTAATTAGTTATGTTAGAAAGTTACCAGCTATATACAGATTACTGTATGTGGGGTTTGAGTCACTTAATCATTTGATATTAGGTAAGCTTTCTATCAGCATCAGCTGAAAACAGTAACTTAGACTATAATTCTGTGGAATTCTTGTCAGTATATTTTGCTAGAAATTTAAAGAATAAAAATTAAAATTGTCAACAAAAATACCAGAAAAATATGAAGAAATGACAAATATGTTCATCCTGCATGCTCTCTATAAGAGAGGGTACCACAAGCCTGAGAGTCAAAGGCTCTCTGGAACCCTTCACCACCACAGAATAGCATAGTGTTTGTACACCTAGCAAATACTACATTATATGATAAATGTTACCTTCTATTTGATTATTGTGGGTAATGGTGAACACTTTGTCTCATATTGGTCTAAATTCTTTTTAGTGTTATGTACAATATAGTTACACGATGTGCATTTTTCTGATTATTTGAAATGTAAAACAAGGAAAAAATAATGGACAAAATAAAACTTCTGATCTTTTCGTTCTTTAAGAGAAAATACTAACAAAATAACTGATAACATTTAGGTGAAAACCATCCAAACAGTGTTACAAATAAGTTACAATTAATTAAAATGAACTTGGTATGCCAAGTTATTTCTCGTTAGACTGCTTTAGATCATAAATTTGTTGTTTCAGGAACACCTGTTTTATGTACTTTTAACTATCTCTCACTTGCTACTTTACCCTCTCATAATTCCCCTTCCCCTATCAATAGTCCCCCCCTCCCCCACCATTCCCCTCCCCCATCGCTACCCTCCCTATCACTACAATCCTCATCCTCTCCCTCCCATATACCATGGTATGGTCTTGCCAACTACAATGAAATTGGATACCACATTTGAAAATTTCAAAGTTAACATAAACAATTTTAGATTGAAATCGATATGTGCACTAGATGTAATGTTTTCAATAATTTTTGTAAAACTAGATCATATTCAATAAATGATGAGGTTGTTGAGAGAAGTGTTTGAGTTGGTGCCAATATGTACACAGAAATAAACATTAACACCTACCAGAGATATACTCTGACAAAGTTAATCTTATCTTTGATGTTCAACATCAATATTGCGCAAGAATGTTAAGTATATTTAACGAAACATGTGCTGTTACTATTTGTGATTTAAAAGTTACAGTTTTTTTTTTCACCATCAGTTGAAGATTTAGATTAATTTCTATCAAATTTTAAATAGTGCTTCTGTGGTGGTGAAAGGTGAAAGTTGAACACTGCAGACATGTCTGTCACTTACTGGCACTTGGTGACGTTCATGGATACTATGACACGACACTCTCCGGCGTTGAGACAGTAGCCAGCCTTCTCTGGTCCACATGGTACATAAGCTGGCGGATGGCTTACCACTGAAACACACATTAAAAAAATAAATTAGACAGTACAATTACTATCATTGAGAGATTGTGATATGTCTTTATTTCCTTGTGAGGAATATTCAAAACCTGTATCATCAAAATGATAATGCCAAATACAGGCAGCAACATGCCATCTACCATCCAGTTATTTCCAATATTGATGAAAATTATATACTTTTTATATATATATATATGTGTGTGTATGTAATAACAATGCTGGCTAACACATGACTTACTTACAAATGTAAGTTAAACAAAATCAGCCATTCATGGCCATAAACCCTTTGCATATTTCTTTACAACTTAGTATCCACATTGCTAATTTGCTTTCAGTTGATTGTACTTATATATTAACTATTTCTGACTGTATTTGAACTTTTCAGTATAACTTGAACATATCCTAACACTAACTATGCATGGCATATACAATACAGATCTACCCCATACTTCCCAAGGGGGAGATCACTCTGAATTAGGATAAAGACTGGTATTGATTATGTCCTAACTGCCTCACATTGATTGCTGAATATTACAACATGAAAGCCAAAAAGGCTGTCTAGAAGTGCTTATTTACATGAGAATACATGGCTACATATACACACAATCATAAATCTCTTATGGCATACTATAGTAAGTTCTTTATCACCGCAGGGAGGGGCCTCACCAAACAGATCACCCAAGTGAGGGAGCTGATTAATACAAGGGTGATGACTGAATGTTGGAAGATCCATAAGCATTATGGTGGGAAAAAGGAGAATGTATTAGTGTGTAGGTCATTATATTACTCTTAGCGATATTTTTTGTGCGTTTATTTATGACACCGCGGTATAAACCAGTCTGTAATGATTCTATCAGTTATCTGATAAATACACACAGTGTCTTGGAAGTGGACAGGTCCAATCATATACTGCTGATCCTATAGTTTATATATATTACTGCAGATCCATTTCTATGGTTTATCTACACCAATGATGTAAGGTAGAGGATAAGAGAAATGATCAATAAAGACTGAATCTGTGTGGCAGATACTGCAGACCAGACACAACACTGCAGCCAATTGTCTAAATACATACAAATCCCTCGTTTGATATACTGCAAGGAAATGAAAGTGGAAGTTCTTAGGACTTTTTCTCTGTATATTATAAGGAGAGCAGTAGTAAAGACAATCTTAAGTATTCTACTAAGTAGCTCAGTACATACATCAGTATTCTGATAGGTAATTCAGTAGGTACATCATTATTCTGATACGTAACTCAGTAGATACATCATTATTCTGATAGGTAATTCAGTAGATACATCATTATTCTGATAGGTAACTCAGTAGATACATCATTATTCTGATACGTAACTCAGTAGATACATCATTATTCTGATAGGTAACTCAGTAGATACATCATTATTCTGATACGAAACTCAGTAGATACATCATTATTCTGATAGGTAATTCAGTAGATACATCATTATTCTGATAGGTAATTCAGTAGATACATCATTATTCTATTACATAACCAAAATAATGTGAAGAGGATTCCAGAGGTATTATTTATAGTAGACATTTCATATCTTAACTGTTTCATGTATGGGCGCAGGCTCTATTTCTGCTTTCACAAAGACATAGGAGGGGCACTTTACACATTTCCCTGATATTCTATCCCGCCTCCTTTCACAGGAAAGAGCACATTAGTGGGGTCTACAAGGCCAACCACAATCAGACAACTTCTTGGTGATAATCAAATAGCAGGTGACATGACAGGAATGAACTAGATCAGAGGATACAAGTGTGAATAATTTCATTAATTAACCAAAGTGATGTTAACTAACCACAGCCACAGAGTTGATGTCAGTCTCCCAATATCTGCCTTACTCAGTAGGATGACTGTGCCAAGGGCAAATGTCAATAGAACTCCTGGCAATACTCCCTAATAGTCCAATTCGGGGTGAGAACCTCCATGCCAACAAACATGAAGAAGCATACTGTCACTGTACAGAAAATACACCTCCTCCCTTACAGTTAAACAATATTCCTTTTACAGATTCAACAAGCAAAACCCAAATGGTAAAGATTCAGACCAAACATCAGTGGAAAAAGGATTATAAATGTTAGAAGTGCTGAAGACTGGCAAATAAAGTCAATCTTTCTCTCAAGATCTATGATCTGTAGTCCATGTCAAAATAATGTCTACCTATATTTAAACACCTAGTTAGAGAGAAAGAAAACTGTAAAGTCCTGTATGAAACAGTCCAAATCATTTACACTACTGTAAAGTCCTGTATGAAACAGTCCAAATCATTTACACTACTGTAAAGTCCTGTATGAAACAGTCCAAATCATTTACACTACTGTAAAGTCCTGTATGAAACAGTCCAAATCATTTACACTACTGTAAAGTCCTGTATGAAACAGTCCAAATCATTTACACTACTGTAAAGTCCTGTATGAAACACTCCAAATCATTTACACTACTGTAAAGTCCTGTATGAAACAGTCCAAATCATTTACACTACTGTAAAGTCCTGTATGAAACAGTCCAAATCATTTACACTACTGTAAAGTCCTGTATGAAACAGTCCAAATCATTTACACTACTGTAAAGTCCTGTATGAAACAGTCCAAATCATTTACACTACTGTAAAGTCCTGTATGAAACAGTCCAAATCATTTACACTACTGTAAAGTCCTGTATGAAACAGTCCAAATCATTTACACTACTGTAAAGTCCTGTATGAAACACTCCAAATCATTTACACTACTGTAAAGTCCTGTATGAAACAGTCCATATCACTGACAATCTATTGTCTGCACTAAAGAATAAAGAAATATTTACATATGAGTACATGATGTGTGAAAAAAGTACAAGGGTACTGTAAAATTTTATATTTAAAATCCAATAAATCTCAATATTTTAAAGAACCAATTAACCAATTTTGAAATAGATCTCTCTGCTTTCGTATTTAATTACATAAATTCCGACAAATTTGTATAAGATCAGAACTGAAAATAGAGCTTTACACGGGAATTTGCAATACTAAGTAGTTATTATGCCTATACCAGATGAAAGGTTACTCAAGGTCAGATTTGCCAAACACTCAGTTTGATCCAGAACCAAGTCTGGAAGAGACCACCACAGGGAAGGAGTTCTTTCACAATCTCCTGGCCTAGATACCTATTTTCTGCCCAAGGGTTACACAGATAAACCACAAGTGCAAAGATGTCATTTGTTCGAAACCTGCTGCAAACAAATTGGTTTGAAAATCAGCATGGGGGAAAAACCCAAACATGTTCACATAAACTTTAATGAATTGAAATTCAATTACCCAGTATCAAAACAAGCAATGCAATGAGCAGAATTTCACAGCCATTTGCCTGTATTTTATCATTTATAGTAAAACACCAATAAAATTGTGAAGGATTCTTCCAAAAGAATTCATATCCACTTAATCTATTTTCTAAAAGGTTTGGTGATCAGAAGATGTTAATTACAACATATGTGAAAAGGATAAGCAGTTACCAAGGAAAGTTCTGGTAGATTTGCAGGTATCAAAAATCAAAATTCTGGCGGTAATTAGAATGCAGGTAAATCTGTAGCTTTTTACAGGATAATTTTCAAAAGACAAAAATACAGGTAAGTATGTAGGCATTAAGTTGGAAAATTGTCAGTAGATAGGGGTACAGGTGAATCTGTAGGAATTGAACTGGGAAATTTTCTTTAGAGAGCAATAAAAGGAAATCTGTAGTTATTTAATTGGTAAATTTTCAGTAGATAGGGATACAGGTAAATCTGAAGGTATTTAAGTGTGAATTTTCAGTAGATAGGGATACAGGTAAATCTGGAGGTATTTAAGTGTGAATTTTCAGTAGATAGGGATACAGGTAAATCTGGAGGTATTTAAGTGTGAATTTTCAGTAGATAGGGATACAGGTAAATCTGAAGGTATTTAAGTGTGAATTTTCAGTAGATAGGGATACAGGTAAATCTGGAGGTATTTACGTGTGAATTTTCAGTAGATAGGGATACAGGTAAATCTGGAGGTATTTACGTGTGAATTTTCAGTAGATAGGGAAACAGGTATTTACGTGTGAATTTTCAGTAGATAGGGATACAGGTAAATCTGGAGGTATTTACGTGTGAATTTTCAGTAGACAGAGACAAGAGTAGCACCATTTTCAAATTTTGGCTGAAATATGCATCATTGAATTTAACACAAAGACCTGAAGCACTTGATGGCCAACATTTATGTTTCCTCAAAATCAGTTAAATTAACTTTCATAAATAATGCAAACCATTTTGGGGATTGTGTTTGAGCAATCTTCAGCTCCTGGGAACCCGCCCTGGATATGTTAGTAGTAGGTTCCCAGGTAGATCCTGCTGCTAAATTATGCAGCCATTAGCCGAAGATCAGATGCACCAGCAGATCCATAATTTTTTATGCCATCACATTTTCAAATAGCTTTACATTCTTAACTTCCTGTGTAATTCTCAGATAAACAGCATGTTTACAGCATAGTATTTATAGACTAATTACCAATAGATTTCACTGAATTTACAGGAATACTGAATATGTCTAGAATTAAAGAGAAACTGTTTTCTATTCAACAGCCACATTTCCTTGCATGATTTATGTCTATATCTACCGAGAAATTGCATGTACAATGGTATAGAGGGACACTGCCTTTTGTTGAGGATCACAGCTAAATTGTGTTGAGGAACACTACCTAACTGTGTTGAGGTTCACTGCCTAATTGTGTTGAGGTTCACTACCTAAGTGTATTGAGGGACACTGCTTTCTGCTTTGAGGGAACATTGCCTTTTGTTGAGGGACACCATCTTTCATTGAGGGACATCAGTCTCTCAATGAGGAGCATTGCCTGTTTGTGTTACAAGGAAACTTACATGAAATTAAGTAATTTTATATTTGTTTCAACACTTCCTTAGAAGAAACAGTTTGGGATTTTTTTATCAGATCTGTCTACGGCACTGAAGTTTACTGCCTTAGATAACATACAAGCTCAAATAATCTGAAAATCAAGATTTAAGAAGATCAATTAATCATAGTAAACAGATGTCATGAGGGAGTAGTATCATCTCACTAAGGATTTACTGTACTGTATTCTGACAGGATGGAACACCCCTGCTTCCCTCAGGTTTACACTAGACCCTTCATCACAGTTCAACTATGCTTCACACTTTAACTCCAGATTTTCGAATCTTGTTATCTCATTCTGAGCCAACCATAAATCTTTTAACTTTTTTGTCTTAAAAAGTTTATTTCTTACATTATTTATGATGATATTTGAGTTTTACATACAGATAAAATACAAACTATATACATAGGTACATTTCTGACGGTTTATTTTTAGACTGTTACACTTGTAAAGGAGTAGGACATGAATGGCAAACATACATCAAATCAGAGTATAACCTTAGCAACATCATACTAGTTACCAATGCTGTCTTTATAACATGTAATTTATTTCTTAATCACAAGCAAAACAACTAATGAGTACCAACAAAAATAACCTGTATTATCTAGCTTTGGCTTAGTTGTGTTCCATAACCATAACCTAGCTGGGCCTGCAGTGAAGGTCACACCTGTCTCATGCTCGTCCCTCCAATTAGTGTTGATAATTACCAACTTTTCGCCCTTTACAACATTATTTGAAGCGTTTTTCCTACAGAACAGGTGTCTAAGTCTTGGATTGATCGGTAGGATTTCTGTTTTTTAGTTGGTGTATACTCACACCTTACAGGTAAATCTCTACAGACTTGTTAAGTGCTAAAAGTATCCTATCAGCAAACAAGAAATGTCTTCGGAATTTTCCTTTTAAACTTCACTTCCTTCGCAAGATTTGCTGTTATAGCTTTTGAGAGGTAAAATATCTCAAGTTTACAGGGACTTTGGTTTTACACCAGGCATTGCTGTGTAAGTTGTCTACACTGTGAGAACATGCTGCTCTCTAGTGTATCATGGAATCAGCAGAGAAAATCAAACACAAACATTCAAGCTTTATTGCATATTAACAACCTTCTATGTCCTTAGTTTATTTGGGGAATTAGTGGCAATTATCAAAATGCTGGAAAATCATAACTGGGACATATAAATCAAACACTATCAACACTTTTTTCTAATGTTTTTCTTCAGTTTTTTGTTAGGTCAAAAGTATTTTAAACATTTTGCATGCCATACACAAAATCTTTCAAATAAACATCTTGTAGCCATGGACTTTCTTAAAATCTACCAAGTACTGAAAAGCATATTTATCTCACAAGCTTTTTACTTAGAGATTGTGATTGTATATGTCTTAACAACTGTTTTTAACTATGACAGCAAATGACAAGGTTTGTTTTAGTAATTCAGACTATAAGTATCTTATCAGTGCTTTAGTAATCAGGATTTTTAGTAATTCAGACTATAAGTATCTTATCAGTGCTTTAGTAATCAGGATTTTAGTAATTCAGACTATAAGTATCTTATCAGTGCTTTAGTAATCAGGATTTTTAGTAATTCAGACTATAAGTATCTTATCAGTGCTTTAGTAATCAGGATTTTTAGTAATTCAGACTATAAGTATCTTACCAGTGTTTTAGTAATCAGGATTACAGTTATGTTAGTAATGAAGACTACAGATGTCTAAAAAGCATTGAAGCAATTAAGACAATAGATGTCACATGAAAATTTCTAATAATTAAGACTACGGTTGTCTCACAAGGTCTTCTAGTAATTAAGACTACGGTTGTCTCACAAGGTCTTCTAGTAATTAAGACTACGGTTGTCTCACAAGGTCTTCTAGTAATTAAGAATATGGTTGTCTCACAAGGTCTTTTGATATTTAAAAGTTTGGTTTTATCAGTAATTAAGACTACAGTTGTCTTATCAGAAATGTTTGAGCAATGACTGACAACTAACAATAAAACAGTCCTATATAGAACATTAGCACAAACATTGTCAAGCAGGCCAAGGAAGCAGATTTAACTTACCATCAGTTGTTGGTCTTCTTGTTGTCTTTCTTGGAGGTTTTGATTTTGGCGGCAAAACTAAAGAAAGCAAAAGCAAAGGTAATCTTGAAGAAAAGAAAAGAAGAAATGCAGTACAGTTAACCAGTTAACAACTAATTAAAAAAAGAAATTAAGAAAATAAAAAAAACCAGTTATAATATTTGGAGAGTCTGCATTAAATAAAATATCAACAAATTAATAGAATATCAACAAACAAAGAAAAACAAAGCAAAGACACATAACTTGAGGGCACGAATGTAAACGATACCAAATCAAAAAATGTTATGCTAAGATCATATTCACAGCATGATCTCAAGGTATTCAAGTAAGTGAATATCCTGAATCAATTTTTGATCAAGAATTATTAGTGCTAAAAAGCAATAGGTATACAGTTGGAGAAAAGATTAAATGCTGATTCCATAAACGATAAGAAATTATCTAGAACTTGTAGATGTAAGTCTTTGATCTGTTATGGGATTAAGTGTAGAACTCTAATGGGGAGGTAGATATAAGGCATTCCAGTCAGTATGTGAGAAGGTCTATCGTTATACCCATCACACGTGTTACCTAAATCCATCATACAACTGTCAAAATCAAAATGAAATGTTTGTTTTCCTGTTTGTTTTTATTATGTCAAGTCCCGTAAAACACGGTATCTCCGAACATCTCACCAAATATCTGTCTGGTGGTCAATTTGACGATGAATGACCATCTGTGCATCTCACCAAATGTCTGGTGGTCAATTTGACAATGGAATGACCATTCATGCATCTCACAAAATGTCTGTCTGGTGCTCAAATTGATATGTCCTTTTTCTTGCAACAAGGTCATGTCCAACTCTCATTCACCATTCTCTCCCATGTAAGGTCAAGCCCACAGTCTCCATTCTCTCCACAAGGTCAGATCCAGCCCTCAGTCTCCCTTCTCTCTCACAAGGCCAGGTCCAGCCCTCAGTCTCCCTTCTCTCTGACAAGGTCAGGTCCACCCCTCAATCTCCCTTCTCTCCAACAAGGTCAGGTCCAGGCTTCAGCTCCCCTTCTTCCCTAAACGGTCAGATCCAGCCCTCAGTCTCCCTTCTCTCTGACAAGGCTAGGTCTAGCCCTCAGTCTCCCTTCTCTCTGACAAGGCCAGATCCAGCCCTCAGTCTCCCTTCTCTCTGACAAGGCCAGGTCCAGCCCTCAGTCTCCCTTCTCTCTGACAAGGCCAGGTCCACCCCTCAATCTCCCTTCCCCTCACACTATACAATTGCACCCCCACTTGGCTATCAACTCTATCAACAAATCTGGTTACAATTTCAGTCATTAACCTGACAACAAACACATTCTTCCAACTGAAAGCTTCACGCATACTTGAGAGGTCAGAAATTGTGTGTAAAACACAACTTTGCACCTTTGATAACCATCAGAAGACAAACTCTCTCCCTCACAACTTGAGGTATCTATTACCTTTGAGAAGACCACCATTATTTTTCAGGACATGTTGTCCGACCTTTAAATTGTATTCTAGCTGCCAAAGTAGAACACTAGAATGTTATAGAGCAAAAGGGTCACAAATCCTTTGTGTGCAGGTCATTCTCCATGACAGAGGTGGTGTGAAATTTAGAACAAACAAAGGAAATATATAGATGGTGTGACCAGTGAGTGCAGTGTATCACACTAATGGTGCCCACTTCCTCCAGTGAGATCCACCATACTCCAGCCTATTATACCTCATACATCATTTAGGCCATAACATTATGCTTCTGGTAAGGAAGTTAAAGATACACAACTTAGGTCTGTAGGCAGCTAATGGTCCCAGTAGAACAATAGTCACATAGTTCTGAATATCACACTAGATTTATATTCTACTGATCTTATATCTGCTGAACTATATGACTTGTGAGGTACCGCCAGAGCTTAAATGGCATTCTGTTATGCTGTACAAGCATTGTCAGATTTGTTGATTTGCCAAAAACTGATTAACAGGAATGATGAAGGTTCCCTAGCTGTAAGTGATCTGTACAACAATATTTCAATATTTCATTCCAACAATCCAACCAAAGCCTAGGGCTTACCACCTACACATTATATTGCATAACCAGCTTTCAGAAACAAGTTATTAAGAAATTGTGTGGGGAGGGCAATTAGGATGATATCTCCAAGTTCACATTTTGGGAAGTACAGGTCATTGTACTTTTATATTGTAACATAACTCACTTCAATTGGGAAGAACACATTTTCCCCACACTTCAGTTGACCCAAACTTGACATGTATAACCAAACCACATCCTGCGTGATTGCCCCTAAATAGTTCCCCTTGGTGCCCCTGTCATATCCAACTCCTAAAGACTTCTTCGTTAAAAACAACTGTATGCTCCCAAAAATGGAAACAAAATATAACCACATATTGTAATGGAGCTGCAGGCTCTTTTTGACCTCAGATACCTCTAACGGCCAAACTTTTCCCTTCTCCCTCTCCCCCACACACATACTGCCAAGTTCCCCCTCCCCTTAGTACCAATCAGCCCTACACTACCACCAAACTTGTACTGGACCCTAATTAGGGACTTCCTGCTATCTCAGCCCTTATTGGCTCTGCACCATTTACCCTGATATCCTGATACACACCAGGTCTAGGGAGGGTGTGCTATATACACAAATTTTCCATTGTTTCGGATGCTACACAGACAATAGCCCCCTCACAGGTACCAGGGCCAGCTTCCCGCTAGTTTTTGATGTAGCAAACCTAATGCTTACATTAATTTCATTCTCCCAATAAATATTCAAGATGGGTTAATGGGCAACTTTCACATAAAAGCTAATTGGCTTCAGTCATCATATAGAGCTTGCAATTGTTTTTCTTTCTATGTTTGAAAAGTGATAAATGAGACGGTATGACTCCATCAGTGAAACATGTAGTTATATATATATGTTTTGCTTTAATTACTCTATCTCTGATCTGTTTCAATAATAAACCTATCAGATTCTATGTAAACAGGCCTGTGGCCCCCCCATGTTAGAGGCGAGCCTGACAGACAAGGATAATCGTGATGTAGAATCCTTTCATCTCTCCTGGCAGGCCAAAACAATGCACTATAAACTCTAACAGGGAATGTTAACAAAGCAAATAGCTAATACAAGTGATGAAAAGTTAATTGATAGAACCAGAACAGCCGATAAACCTAGCAATTCTCATTACATTGTCTGGGTAAGTGCTTAGATACTACCAAATACCTCATGTAACTGGCAAATGTTAACTCCAATTAATAAAACAGGTCAATGAAAAGTTGTTCTCAAATATATTTGGTGACATCTAGAGCCATAGGTTACACTGGAATGTTCTACAGCTTGTCACATTGCCTTTCCATAATTTTATCAGCATTTGATTGTAGGTTAACTGCTCCAACAAACAGAGAAGAAATAAAATGCCTATATTCCTTGAGCTGGTACAGCTATTGAACTACAGCTATTCCTTGAGCTGGTACAGGTATTGAACTACAGCTGTTTTGTTTAATGCTGAGAGGTGAAATAGGAACAAATGTGACACCTGTACAGAACTACTACTGACATAATGGTACAATATTAATTATACTAGCTTAGTTCTGTATGCAAGAAAGGAACAGCTTTTAGTTCAAATTTGTATGTTAAGAAAAAAAACAAAAGGTCAAACTAAAACAAGAACAAGTCAAATCACCATGATGAGACATTTAAACCTCTGGGATCAACTAACCAACCTGGCTTGATCCTCCTCGTCTCATAGTGACATCGAATAACCACTGGTACCTGCTCCTCCGGGGGAGGGGTTTCTGTCACATTAGTGGTCTTAGGGTCATCAACATCGATTTCTGTCATGTTGTTAGTCATAATAAACACAGATTGACAATCACAACACAAGCAGGGCACATGTATTGCCCCTGGCTATATGTACTGCATGTAAACGTAAGTACTTAAACACCCTGGTCAAATATGGGTACAAACACAATAACTTTGTAACGGTAAGCCGCTCAATAGAATCTGTATGTATATAAACCCTTCAATGAATAGTATAGCGTTCTGCTGGAATTCTTCATTCCCAAATGGGATTATCACATGGAAAATCTGGCCTTACCTAAAACTGACAGTGCCCAAACCTTAGCCTTTATCAGGTGGGAATCACTACGTCATAGTAGTCACAAAACACCTCAGTCGTTAATTCTGTTTATTCTTGCTAGCATTGAACGCTGGATTAAATACCCCTCCCTTTTCTGATTCTGACAACACAGGTGAAAAGGTCATGGTGAAGTTTTCCTAACTATACAATGATTTCTATATCTTTCATTCATGTCTGATGCCCATGAAGGGTCAATAGCACTTTAAGTCATTTCCCATATTTAGTTTCTTTAAGTACAGGTGTGATAGAGATTTTCTAGTCAAATAAACACTTCTGTTTTAAAGCTTTATGGACTTTTAAAGAATGTTTTTGATTGCAATTTATTCACTGTATATCTTTAACTACATATTGAAAAATCTTTTTAAAATTTAAAAATCCATCTTTTAATCCCAATCTTTATTTGGAACATCAATTACATTCATTCTATGACCTGGAATTTACTTGAACTGATTATTATCCAAATGAATAAGTTGGTGCTCTAATAAGCAATTCTGTTTACATCCCAATGATTAATTTTGTTTACATATCTTCAAAGTTGATCATTGAGTTATGGCTGTATGGCTACAGTAAGTATTGTAGGAGGTCAGTAGTGTGTATATAGTCTTTTAGAGAATAATTTTCTTCACTTATCAATACCAATTTTCCAAGAATTTCAATAAGTCTACTTAAAACCTCCTGTATTGAAGAGAACTCTTCCTAAAATTTAAACTATCCCCATGTATAGGTTAAATTTACCAATTTTTAAACAGATTTCTTATCAAAAATATTTCTTAACGCCTTGAAAAACATATTCCTTCATTCCGTTTGAATGATCCAAGTGTAGACAAGTTTTAAATATTTCAATTACATAATCAGTTTTTAGACATGAGATAGACAGAAAGGTGATATCTGCTGACAATAGAGATACTGAAAAGTATATTAAGTATGGCTTGTATCAACATTCCAGCTATATTTGAATCCAACATTGTGGGTGGAAAGTAAGTTAAAGGTCTCATTCACCATGCGCTGATCTTATTTGATCTCAGAAGCTGAGGTAACTTTTGAATTAAAAGTACAGTGTATAACTAGATAGAATTGGTAGAAACTCAAGCAGTGACAAAAGAGAGAAATATACATCTCGCGTGGGGAGTCCCCTCCTTGACATCCCTCCCACTGTGAGATATGTCAATACAGGAAACAGTAAAGCCTTGTTGTAGCTGTGTTTACATTAGTCAGCAAGGGCAGGAAAGTCCCCAGACAGAGCATCACACTCAATCTCTCACCTGGATGTCGACTACTCTCATAGGTGACAACAGTAAATTTCATTCATATCTATGTTATAATATGCAATACCCACATTATGAAATAAAAAAATATAAATGAATTTGCCAAGATCTAGAAGTCCCCTGGACACTTGATTCATCTCCAATACATTAGTATTTACATAACCACATTATCTAATTCATGAACAATAATGACTTATACAAACAAGGTTTTAATAATCAGTCAACTTTAAAAAAATAATTCTTGCACTCATTAATAGACACAGGGTCATTGAGCACCTATCTTGGGCTCATGTCAGTAGATATACTTAACATGTATATTATACAATAGGCCCTATTTCTATTGGGGTTCAGGAGTAATTGTTTTGTGTATGTGAATGAACTCACAAAGTTAAATTGCATTCCTGTCATTGGAAATGGATGGAATTTAGTGGAGAGGATAGGATAAAGGAACAGTTCCCTCATACAAGTTTATAAGCACAAGGGAATGGGATGGTTTCCTTATATGAGTCAATAGGGAGAAGGGGTAGTGATAGATCCCAAGAAAGAGGATGGTTTTTCTTATATAAATAAGGAGACGGGGTAGTGGTAGAGCCCGAGAAAGAGGATGGTTTCCTTATATAAATAAGGAGACGGGGTAGTGGTAGAGCCCGAGAAAGAGGATGGTTTCCTTATATAAATAAGGAGACGGGGTAGTGGTAGAGCCCGAGAAAGAGGATGGTTTCCTTATATAAGTAGGGAGACGGGGTAGTGGTAGAGCCCGAGAAAGAGGATGGTTTCCTTACATTAGTAAGGAGAAGGGGAAGTGAATAAGCTCTGAGGATGGGATAATGACAGACATGTTACCCTACAAAATATGGTTTTATCAAATATATAATGTGGTTACATTACAAATGTATAAGAATTCCTGCCAGTTATCATAATACATATTTTGTTTTTTGAATGCAGGCCAAAATGTTCCTTGCAAATAAACAGCTTTCCTGACACATCAATTTACATTTTGATACCGTGTGCTCTTATCTACTGCATCACTCGCACCTCCTTATTCATGTCCCCTTGTTTGCCAGTAGATTTGGTTATGAAATTCTCTTCAGAAATTTCAATAATTCCATCATTTGATCCTAATCTCTAAATGTTGAGATAAATTCTGTTAGATGCCTAGGAATGTGTTAACCGTGTGTATATAAGCTTCTTTTGATTAAGATTAAAAAATCTTACATTATTTGCCACTATAATGGGTAATTCCTCATTGTTCTACACCCAATTTTAAGCGGGTCAGTAGCTATAACCAAGTATAGACCATCTGTTCAATTTCAATGTACTGTAGTAATGCACTCATATAACCTGCAGATTAAAGGTGATTATATAAATCATGATATTTATAATATTGACTACTGTATCTTGTAAATCATTGTTTTGGGGGAGCAGGGATGGTGGGGGTTGGTAAAGGGAAGCAATGGAGTTGGAATGGTGGTGGTGAGGGAGACAGTTCTCAAGTTACCTAGTTTCAGTATTAACAAGTACTTCATAGTGGCTATGATAGACAAATGTATTTGCATCATCGGTTGTTTTCTGGTACTCAGTATCAACATTTTTTCACTATAAATTTAATTTTTTTAAAGATTATCTGGTATCAATAAATGTTTTCTATATAAGTTTAGATACATCTAGATATCTACCAATGATCAAATGTGCATACCTCAGAATTCCATATCTAGTTCAAGTATAGGTGTCACTCTAGTCAGGCTATATCACTTCATCAATTATAAATAGTTCTTTATCCTGGAGTTATCTCCCTTGTTTTAAATGGTTATAATTCTGTAAGTCATGGTAACAAAGGCAATATATCTTCACTAGTTTTTACCCAAGAGTAAAATTTTAATCATCCCAGTCATTTAGCTCTAGCTCACAGTCAGAAATATTTAGTCCCTGATGATTATCAACTGTATAGGAAATATTTAAACATAGCTATACCAATTAACCAAGTGTAGATAGGTAAACTAATTGTTATTCACAAAACAATAAAAAACAGGACCTCACTAGGGAGATCTACAACACAGATCATTGTATTACCATCACTGTAGGAGTAGTGTAACCTACACTCTGTCAAGATCACATTCCACCTCACTTATTTTCATTTTAATGTCATCAGGATGAATTGCAAATTACCAAATGCAGGAGATAATTCTTTCATTGTCTCTCCCACCCCGCCATAATCTTTATTATATGATCTACTTCATGTCAGACTTTTTGTAATCGATGTGTGCAGTCATTTTTTACAAGAACATTTCTGATAATTTTCACATCAGATGCTAATTTCCAAATTACCTGATAAATAGGTCATAGAGGTCAGATGAGTTCTGATACTGGTCTGATAAATAGATAAAAGATATCAGGTTAGGCCCGATACTGACCTCATCAACAGGTCATAGAGGTCAGGAGATGTCAAATACTGACCTGATCAATAGGTCATAGAGGTCAGGTGACTTAAATTCTAACCTGATCAATAGGTCATAGAGGTCAGGTGACTTCCAATACTGACCTGATCAATAGGTCATAGAGGTCAGGTGACTTCCAATACTGACCTGATAAGCAGGTCACGGAGGTTAGGAGACTTCAAATACTGACCTGATGAATAAGGTCATAGAGGTCAGGTGAGGTTTAATACTTGTCAAATTTAGCCATATCTGGGTCATGTATTAATCATAGAAGTAACTAATGTAAGGTCAAATCTGAGAAAAATTGGTTATAAAGGTCATTTGAGGACAAATGCAGGCATTTATATATTTAGGTCATAGAGGTCAGGTGAAGTTCAGTACTGTTAGATCTGCATTATCACTCAGGCCTGTAGACAACAGACAACTTCATTCCTACTCACATTATTTCTCTTTATCACAAATTAAATATCTGTCTTGCATAGCATGACAAAATCAGGTTCAGTATAACAATATGTGCAAATTGATGTTTTTTCTGGGAAAACAATTTGGTGCTGCAATTCAACAATACGGGACATTGATGGAGAAGCTTGAGCTGTTACAAAACACAATTGAACTGTCATATAGAACAACAATCTATAGAGGCATCAAATGGCAAACTCCAGGTCTGTAAAATCACATGTTAGAATTGTAGAAGAGAGGTGTAATCTACTCCAACATGTCAATCTTTACTGCTAATCGTATCAGGATGTATTGATTTACTAAAATACATGCTGTACTACCAGATTCATAAGCAGTCATTTCAGTATTACAGCTTCACTCAGTTCTTTTTCTCTCTTTTGATAAAATTGGTGCTATCATTCTTCCTTGAACAGACAGACAGATTCTATTATTCTATAGAAAGACACAGACTAGGTTCTATTATTATAAGGAAAGACACAGACTAGGTTCTATTATTATAAGGAAAGACACAGACTAGGTTTAATTACTTTTCCACTGACTTGAACTAGATCGTGCTGCTGTGCTCTTGTATTAAAGATGAGTAAGAGGTTGCATAGAGTTCTGTATCAAGATAGATAAAAACTAGCTCTATAATAAAAGAAAAACATCCTTCACCATGAACTCAGAGGTCAAGGTCAATACCTGTAACTCTGAAAAGCAGAAGATAATATCAATGTCATTACTGAGAGCATTAAGTCAAAGTCATGCAAACTTACCTGTAACTTTAGCAAGTGCTTCAGTAGAACCCAGAACATTGGTAGCTTTACAGGTGTACGTTCCGCCATCACCACTGTTAGCTTTATTGATCTTTAATCTTGATCCTCTTCTATTAAAAGGAAAGCAAATACACCAATATTTCATAAGTATTAAGATAATAGTACAGCATTTATCCTTCCCTCTCTATTTAAGCAATTAATGGCAACCTTTATATAATCTGTGGTACATGACCTGCTCTCTATAATTGGCAGTCAGGGAAACGTAACTCTACCCAATATTCTGTATCCATGGTAACATACCCCTCTCTATCAACTGTGATGACATATTGACTCCATCTCTAATTTGCATAGGCAAATCAATTTGTGTAATGTGACTAAACACCTTACTCTGTAACCATGGTAACATAGTCCATCCCACTGTGTAGCTATGGGTATTGACTCAGGCCCATTTACCTCTGTAGAGATTGGGCTATGGTACATTCTCATACTTTGTAGTCATGGGAAGATAACACATCCCAACCTTCTCTATTCTTCAGGTATATGATGGCCCTGCCCCATAATCTACAATCGTAAGAACATTTGCCCAGTCCATACCCTGCCCTCTGTTTAACCGTTGTTGTTCTTGAAAGTGTGCTAACTTACATGTTTATTAAAAAAATGTGCTGCAGCTTTAATGTTTCTTTATTTTATTATAGACGTAACTAAAAATAAAGTTCATGCTTACTTTGATGACTTTATTCGGACTCGCCGGGACCGTATCTCCTGTCCGTCTTTGAACCATGTAAACGCAGCATCAGGCTTTGATGATCTTATTCGACATCGTAATAATATTGGCCTTCCTGTTTTATATTTGCGTACTTTAATTTTTCGAAGAGTTGGTGGTTTACCTGTAAATTATATATAATGAACAATTAACAAAGTTTACCTGTAAATTATATATAACGAATAATTAACTAAGTAACAACATTAGACACTATATATATCACATACATACAAATAATAACATCAGAGGCCTTTTAGTGATTCTTAAGAAATCAAAGAGAGAGAAAAGCTAACTGGACTGATTGGTTGAAGTAATTATATTATAGATGTATGGACGTAATGATATTCTCATAATGTTTGTAATAAGCTAGAGACTGACAAAGATAGTAACAATGATGTAACAATCGATTCTGTCTTGCTGGAAGACAGATAATACTGTTCACGATATATTACACAACCTAGACAGAAAGAGAAATGATGAGAAATATAAACTTCTGTGAACACTGCACTGTCTACACTAATCAATAGGTACTTTTACTTCTAATTAGTAGACAGCTCTATATTGTGTTATATTGTCCCCTCCAACCAACACAGCAATAACAAGCCATTCATTTTCACCTTTAGGTCTGTAACAGAGGTCATTATTTATTTCAATGTTTCTACTAGGTTTCAAACCTGGGACCTCTAGCTTAACAGTCTGATACTAGACCAAGCATGCGTTAGAGAATTTCTCTCTTGTGGCCAATATTTACCCAGATTACATGTCATACAACTTGTTATAATAATACTATCAGAAGCAGTGTATTCAGTATAAACTTTTATTACAGACATGATACTGTCATGACATTGATAAAGACCCTCTAACTGGTAAGATGACGGGGTCTTGACCGTGTCAGGCCTAAGATGAGGACAATCTAAGTCCATTCAAGGATAAGATAAGGAGATTTCGACTTGTTCAAGTGTAAGATGAGGGAATACTGTCCCCTTTCAGCCATATAACCAGATTTCTACACATATAGTAATAAGATAAGCGCCTTCGAGGATAAAGATAATGGGATCTCAGACCCTCAAGAGAAAAGATGAGGGAATGTTTTGGGTTAAGACCATGAAGTTGTTGAATAATATTTATCAGCCTCACCAATAGCACCTTAAAAAGATTTCTGCTCAGATAGATTCTACAATCTCATCCCAAGGTAGTGCTAAATTGTCTCAGGGACACCAACTGTCAAAATGTGTCTTCTTCTCAAATGATAAAATAGCTGCACCTTATTGAGCTGCCTCCAGGACTGTACTTTCTAAACAGTACGGTTTGATTGGACAGGTCATAAGACAATTATACGTGCATCATTTAACATCATACCATTCATTTTATCAGCAGTAAAATACAGTCTTAGATTTCTATAATAATCCAATAATAACACTGGTGAAGTGTACAGAATATTTCTAGTGTTAGTGGAATAGGCTTGGAAAAATTTGTGGCCAGACGGGGGTTCGAACTCAGGTCTCTCCAAAATCTAGGTAGACAGTCTACCAAATGAACTACTTGGTCACTGCGATTGACACACTCCAATTCCTCTGCATTTCCTTAAGTCAGGGTAGGTCGGATACATGCATGGCCAGAACAGGGTTCAAACTCCAGACCTATGAACTCTAGAAACAGGCTCGACCAATGAGCTATCTGGTCACTGACCATAGACCTAGTCAAGTTCTGCTACAACATTCTATAATATATATATAGTGATATGTCAATGTTCTTTTATTTCTAATAGCAGTGAATCACTGTTATTGGTCAAATCTTAACTGCATCCCCTTCACAGGTAAATTTGAAGCATCATATACATGGATTTACTCCAATCAGTAATAGTACTGACAGTAGTGTTTCATTAAATTGCTGTGATTTATTACTAAACAGGAATGACAGGCCAAGTATTAAACTGTTCCATTGAATATTCCCTGAACCACTTTGGAATCTTCCCAAAACCATAAAAACCTAGCTACAATTAGAATCAATACAATAGACAATGTTGGGACTATTTCAGCAGTTTTCGTGGCTGTATGATGATGTTATTGGCCCTCCCATCTCCCCCGACAACCATAACATTATGCAGAGTCTAGGTTTCACACCAACTCACACATAACACATGACACATTGTCAAAATTTGCTGTGCTGCAAATTCCTGGGTTTGATTTCTTGAATAGCCTTCATCCTATTGTAACAACAATCCAGATATTGCATGTGTCAGCAAATCAAAAGCAAACGGTAACCTTATAGCTGACAGCTGAACTATTCAGTTACCCCTCCTAAATCATTTGGAATAAAGGTTCTTCCACACCAATGATGTACCAATGTCTTAAACTTTACCATAAAAATCTTCTCAAAATACTCCAATCTAAATGTCAATTAACTGAAACAGAAACGGCATCAAGATGTCCTTTATGTTTTATTAAAGCTCTGTATTCTAATCTCCATTAAGCTAACTTTATTGTATTTTTTTTCTTCCACTGTCTGGTTAAAAAGTACTGACTTGACATAAAGTAGTTTGAATCTGAATCCTACACACTTAAAAGCTCCTTCAGTAAAGAACTAAAATTCAGATTGTTATGTTAGCATTTTATTACACAACTCTGTAATACCAGTGTTCTACCTAGCATGCTTTGGTAAGGAGACAGACTGTTTCAGAGTGAGAGAGTGTGTGGGTAATATCAGAGAGTTACCAGCATGCTTTGGTAAGGTTTGGTAAGGAGACAGACTGTTTCAGGATGAGAGTAATATCAGAGAGTTACCAGCATGCTTTGGTAAGGTTTGGTAAGGAGACAGACTGTTTCAGGATGAGAGTAATATCAGAGAGTTACCAGCATGCTTTGGTAAAGAGACAGACTGTTTCAGAGTGACTGTAATACCAGAGTTCTACACAGCATGCCTTGGTTCTCATTGGTTCTGAAAAGTTGTGACTTGGTTCTCATTGGTTCTGTAAAATTGTGACTCAGTTCTCATTGGTTTTGTAAAATTGTGAATTGTGACTTGGTTCTCATTGGTTTTGGAAAGTTGTGACTTGGTTCTCATTGGTTCTGTAAAATTGTGACTCAGTTCTAATTGGTTTTGTAAAATTGTGAATTGTGACTTGGTTCTCATTGGTTTTGGAAAGTTGTGACTTGGTTCTCATTGGTTCTGTAAAGTTGTGATTTGGTTCTCTTGTGTGTTTAAAATTGTGTCTTGGTTCTCATTGGTTAAATAAGTTGTGACTCGGTTCTCAATGGTTCTGTAAAGTTGTGATTTGGTTCTCATTGTGTCTGTAAAATTGTTTCTTGATTCTCATTGGTTAAATAAGTTGTGACTTGGTTCTCAATGGTTCTGTAAAGTTGTGATTTGGTTCTCATTGTGTCTGTAAAATTGTGTCTGTGAGGTACCTATTAATTTCCTTCAGAAGGTTTGACTCCTCATTAAATCTCTTCAATAGTAATTCAGAAAGTTGGCAAATATTCTAATGGGTTGTGTATGTACACCATTATTTTTTAATGCACCTATCAGGAAGTGAACCTTCAGCTGTCGAGATATAATGAAATAAAACACATATGTATCCAGAAACATTCCCAGGTAGAAAGGCTATAAAGGGAGGGGTACACACGTAGGCTTATAAGTGAAGAAGGAAAGGTTAGATAATAGCAACCAATGTGTGATTCAAACTCAAGCTAATCAGTCTTATCAAGGGCAAATTTTCTCCACCTAACACTACACACTCTGGAAAATGTAACATATAATTGTATTTTAGTTTTGTGTGACAGGACCATATCTGCAAACATTTCACCAAATATCAAAATGTGTGTGGAATGTTTGTGTAGAGAGCGGGGGTGGTGATCATACACTGTCTACCCGTTCAGGTATAAGCATTGCTAAAACAGGTCTATTAGCCCTCACATTCCCCATTGTACAGTATTTCACTAACATCACACATGTATAGGGTTCTACATAAATAGCAATACAGAATGTCATTGAGGTAGTATATCATACACTACACACATCCACCATGGGACTTTCCTTAAATATCTCTGTATAGCTAGTCATTCATAAAAATATCAAAAATGCAAATAAGATTATAAGCTCGCCCCCACATAATTCATACTGCTTTACCCTAGCGGACAGGTAGAGCTAAAACAGGACACAAATTATTACTTTGAACTTTAAATTTAAAGCAGGAGAATTCCAACAAAGGATCGGCTGTGATGTAATGAAGTGTGGACTGAAGTCTCCAGTAATCTATACAAGCACAACACCATCACAACACCTTAGGAAACAGATCCATCCCGATAATGTTAAACAAAAAGTTGGTGGTTAGCTTACTTTATGATGAATATCTCTTGCTACATTAACACCATAATTGTGATTTGGTTTCCTTCTTGTTGCCCTAGCTTGAACCATATTTAGAAAATAAAACACTGGCAACCTTAATTCTAAGACTCTCTTGTCCATAGCAACATTCTGATTCCCTGTTAACAAAATCTCTCTTGTCCATAGCAATATTCTGATTCCCTGTTAACAAAAACTCTCTTGTCCATAGCAATATTCTGATTCCCTGTTAACAAAATCTCTCTTGTCCATAGCAACATTCTGATTCCCTGTTAACAAAATCTCTCTTGTCCATAGCAATATTCTGATTCCCTGTTAACAAAATCTCTCTTGTCCATAGCAATATTCTGATTCCCTGTTAACAAAAACTCTCTTGTCCATAGCAACATTCTGATTCCCTGTTAACAAAAACTCTCTTGTCCATAGCAATATTCTGATTCCCTGTTAACAAAAACTCTCTTGTCCATAGCAACATTCTGATTCCCTGTTAACAAAATCTCTCTTGTCCATAGCAATATTCTGATTCCCTGTTAACAAAAACTCTCTTGTCCATAGCAACATTCTGATTCCCTGTTAACAAAATCTCTCTTGTCCATAGCAACATTCTGATTCCCTGTTAACAAAAACTCTCTTGTCCATAGCAACATTCTGATTCCCTGTTAACAAAAATTCTCTTGTCCATAGCAACATTCTGATTCCCTGTTAACAAAAACTCTCTTGTCCATAGCAACATTCTGATTCCGATTCCCTGTATTCTGATTCCCTGTTAACAAAATCTCT